TATTGCAAGAGAGGATGTGGAAAAGATGGCATTTTGTACATACTATGGATATTTTGAATGGTTGGTTTTATCCTTTGGTCTTATCAATGCTCCAGCCTCTTTGATGGATTACATGAACAGATTGTTTGAAGATGTTTTGGATAAGTATGTAATCATCTTCATTGATGATATCCTTGAATATACTAAAACTCCTAAAGAGCATGAACAACACCTATGAGAGGTGTTACATCGGCTGCAAGATAGTTGCTTCTATTGTAAGTAATCAAAATATGAACTTTGGAAGTTTGAAGTCATCTTTTTAGGACATGTAGTGTCCTCTAAAGGCTTGCATATAGAACAAGATAAGGTGAAAGGAGTAGAGGATTAGCCAACCCCCAAAGATGCTTCTGAAGTTTGTTTATTTTTAGGCCTTATTAGATATTGTTGTCATTTTTTTTGATAATTTATTCATATTGCTACTTCATTGACAAACCTATATCGAGAAGAATGCTCCATTCAAATGAAAACTAGAGTAGCAAAATGCCTTTGATAAGTTGAAGAAGGCACTCATTATTGCTTCAATATTACAACTGTATGATTGTAATTTCTCTTGTATGCTTGACATTGATGCTTTTGACTTTACTACTAGAGTGATCTTTCAACAAGACTTTGGTAGGGGCCTTCAATCTGTGGCGTATGAATCATGCAAGCTCAAAAGCATAAAGCGCAATTACTCTGTACTTGATTGAGAGCAATTGGCAATTATATATGTCACAAAGATATAGCAACATTATCTATTTAGAAAGCTAATGGTTGTTCGGACTGATTATCGACCTTTGCTACATGATTTACATATAAAAACATGAAATTTTAGGCATCATCATTTGAAAGAATAGTTACAACTTTTTGATATCTAGCTTGAGTATAAGCAAGGGCAAGAACATAGTGTACTAGATAGTTTATCATAGAGACCAGACTTAAAGGACAAATCGAAAGACAAGGTAGAAGCTGCAACCATTAGTAGTATCATTTCAAATCTAACTAAAGAGGCAAAATGGAAGGAAGCTATGCTACGAGATGCTTATTTCATGATGGTTAGCAATTGGCTAAAAGTGCATAATATACAATATCAAGATTACACTCTTGATAGTGGCTTTTTCTATTTCAAGAAGCGATTTTATATACGTGATAATACTAAAATTTAGACGCGCATACCTTAGAAGGGACATTACATTCTAATATCTAGATATCTAGGACGAGAGAAGACCCTAGAATGGATCTCTAGGACATAATTTTGGACATGTTTGGATTATGATATTTGATCCTTTGTATGCTCTTGTGAGTGATGTCAATATAACAAAGCATACAATACAGTGTCTCCTAGACTATTGCAGGTAATTTTACTATCTATGGCATGTTGGCAGTATATGATTATAAATCTCATTGGGTATTTGATGCAAATGCCTCATAATCATACCATGATTGCTATCTTTATAAATTAATTTTCTAAACAACTTTATTTGGCTGCAATGCATTTGGATATTGATGCTTTAATGCTTGTATGAGACTTCTTTGATACTGTCTTTTGTCACCATAGATTATCTCATGTCATTGTTTCAAATGGAGATCCACGCTTCATAGGAAGTTTTTGACAAGTCTTATTCAAGCTATTAGGTACATGACTTGCCATGTCTACAATCTTCCATCCTAAAATAAATGGGCAAACAAAGCATACAAATCAAACCTTGAAAGATATGCTACTGGCATTTTTGGCGGTTCATCATAATAATTGAAATAAATACTTAATGTCCTTGGGATTTACTTATAATGATAGTATTCAAGAAAATATCGATCATTCACCATTTTTTCTTAATATCGGTCAATATCAAATTACGCTAGTAACTCTCCATTATTTCATCCACACCAACAATCGAACAATGGAGGAATTTATACAACGACTTATAATGGCCTTACAAGAAACATAGCATTGTCTCTTTATTACACAAAATCAACAAAAATAATATGTAGATAACCATTGGCAATACAAGACCTTTTAGAAGGGTGACCAAGTGTTATTCTCCAATGCCAACTTGCCACTTGTTACATCAATCCAAATCCTTAAACTAGCACCTTTATGGCTTGGACCTTTCTGCATTTGTGCAAAGATTTTTGATATCGCATATTACTTCAAGCTTTTGCCACATATTTGGATCCATCTAGTCTTCTATGTTTTGTAATTGAAGGAATTTCGTACTAAGCCAAAGCGCTTTCTAGATCAACACCAACTACCACTACTACGAGTTGTAGTTGATGACCAATAAGAATATGAAGTCGACAACATTTTGGAGCATCACTACCTTTGTGGTGGCAATGGACATCTACAAGTTCACTACAAAGTTCTTTGGAAATATTATTCCATTCATAATGCAATATGGAAACTTGCACAAAACCTCGCCTATTATCAAGAAATAATTTAAAGATACCATTGGGAGCAAAATGAGGACGTTCTGCATCAATGAAGCAAAATTAACTATAACAAGGTATAGAAAAGATAATTATATAGATAGTTAGAACCATGGAAGTTTCTAGAATTGGAGTTAGTTTAATGGACCAAATAGGATCCACCATAGAACATTCTAGAAAAATTTAGGGCGGTTATTTAGGTGAGGCTCATGACAGAACCTTCTAGAAAAGACTTAAGGTAGTTATCTAAGTAGGGCCCGACATAGAACCTTCTAAAAAGGAGTTTAAGGGAGTTGTCTAGATGGGGCCTACTACCTAAGAACATTCTAGAAGGTCTAGGGTGATAGAACAAGGTATAAATAGGATTGGCTAGGGCCTTTTGGGGCATCTGGTTAGGAATGGCTTTAGACCCTTTCTCTCATTAAAGTTTGGTTTTGCATCTATTTGTTCAATTTTGTTTTGTTCTATTTCCGTCAGTTCAGTTGTCTTTCATGTCCTATTTTGTATAATTCCATTCAATTCTATTCTAGTTTATTTTGTCCTATTTTGTGATGAAATTTTATATTGTTGTGGAATAGAAGGATCTTGGGTTTTTGAGATAGTATGGTCATATTTCACATAGTATCCTAATTATGTCCAAAAAATAGAAGAGGGACCAAAATTAAAATAAGTCCTAATTAAAATTTTAACATCTAATAGTAATTTGTATAATAATCAAAAGAAATCACAATTTGAGATCTATGTATATTTGTGTACGAATTCTTGTTAAATAAATGGTATAAGAAAAAAAAATAGAAAATAATATAAAAAAATAAAAGTAATTATAATAGATAGAAGTAATTTTTTAAAATTTTAAAAATCAAATCAAATCAAATCATATGAAAGTGAAGTAGTAAAATATTAAATATTATCTTAAAACAAAGAAAATCTTTAATAAATTATATATATATATATATATATATATATCTTTATTTATTTATTTGTATTATAATAAAATTATAAATTACTTTGAAAAAAATAAAAATCAATAAATGAGTTTTTTATATATATTTGAGTAAGACAAGAAAGATCAATGCAAATGTTGATCTTTAAAAATACAACAGAATACACAATTTCTAATTTAATAGTTATCACTTGTATATGTTGTCTTTTGAATTAGAACTATAATAGATTAAGATCATCCAACTTGCTATAACAAGTGCCTATACAAATAGGTAGATAGTTATATAAGATTCTAAGACTTCAAGTTTCTTAATTTAAGATTAGCTTATATATTCTTTTGTTCCAACAACAAAAGCAAGTGCTTCAAATACAAAAGAAGTTAGTTACTTAAGAATATAAATGGATGTTTATGTCTTAAAAATATTTAGAAGAAATATGGAGTAATGTTGTTCAACTTCACTAAATGCCTCAAAGTAATGTTGTTCAAAAAGAGACAAATTAATTCATTAATATTAAGATTCTAACTTCATACATTTATTAATTATGTATGTTCATTGCTATGAGCAAATAAAGAAAGTTATTTGGTAAATATGTACATATATTTTCAAAGGTGACAAACAACCAGCTAATAATATCTACTCAATATAGCAGTGATTATATTTTAACAAAAAAATCATAATTTTTGTACCTTGATACTTTGTAAGTTAGAACATTTATTTTGACACATCCCAGAATTGAATTGTAAATAATATCATAATTATCTTATGAACACTTTGTATAAAAAAAACATAAATTTTCATGTTTGCAACTTTTAATATATTTGAAACCTTTTAAATCATACTACTAATTTTTTTGGAAGAAAAGAGCCATATAAATCATTCATTGAAACTTCACTAAATGCCTCAAAAATTGACTACATGTTCTCTATTATTACCTCCAATATGCATGTTGAATTTCTTAATCATATTATTATTATATAACAATTCTTTCAATTCATTTATGCATTATTTCTTTGATATATGTATATATATATATATATATATATATAATGGTTACTCGAAGTATCACTATTATTGGACTGATGCATCAATGAAGGAAAGGATGAGAAAAAAGAAAAAAACGAAGACGACAAGAGTGCTAAAAAAAAAATTCTAACAATTTCCAGTTGTAGAAAAGAAGACCATCCAAAACAATGAATGAAATTCTAATAAAAAACCCTAACTCTGACAATAAACCCCAAACCCTGATTAGGCAACGACAGTAGACCAAAAACTCTTCGCAACTGCATTGAACTCATACATTGAAACAAGAATGTGATAGTTTGCACAAGTGCAATTCCATGTAAAGTCATCAAGCAGCATCTTTGGGATGGAAAAAACCAACTAGGATGTCATCCACCACTTATCATCCAAGGTGAGCCGGAAAGCAGTCCATGTGAGGAAGCACAAGAGCACTCCCAAAGACAGCACAAGATCACCTCCTGGTCCAAGATGGGCACGGCACCTATTTAGTTGAGTGACCCATGACCAAAAATTATGAAAACAAACCAGTGTATAAAACCCACCCACATCCATGAAACTCGCTCTAGAGCTACAGTGACTTAGAGACATACTAACCTCCCCCCCCATAAACGCACTGAAACAGGGGTTTAGGGTTTGGGAGCTGGACCTCTCAGAACAAACGCATCTGGCAGTTTCTAATGGTTTCGCTTTTTGCCCCTTTCGTCTCACACCTCTAAATTGGGCCACATGGCTGCAGCGTCCATCAAACCGCCGCTGTGAATTTGAATCCGAGGGCGATCTCTGGGCTCCATTTTTCCATGGTTCTTGCCTTTCCACAAGGCTTGACACACTGCAGACGTGGACTGCAATCTGAGGGACACAGAGCGCTTGTCGAAGCACAATCTCAGGTGCTCTGGGTCTCCTCCTTCTTGTTGGATTCGTTTTCATTGCCTGATTGCCTCTTCTCCATCTTCAGCTTGCTATGCTGGTCACGCTAGTTTGAGGTTTGCTGCTTTTTTCTGTCATTTGTCTTACCTTTTTAGTTCTGTTCGGGTTACCGATACCGACGTATCATTTCTTGTGAGGAAAAATTCCTTCGGGTCGGGCCTCGAATAGAGTAGAGTTGATTTGTGTGCGTTAGTGTCATTTGATGGATTGTTTCATGAAAGTGGAGACGGTGAATTGAACAGTAGTTGGTTGTGAAGTCGAGAAGTAGTTTTATTGGAGAAGTTGAAATCGAGTTTTTCTTGTTTTGTTGCATGTTTTGGGGAGTTGTTTGGGTGAATTATTGCATGCGTATCTAGTTGTGCGAGCTTAGATTGGGTTTTGTATGCAACTGGATCTTCTTCACACTTCTTCTGTTGAAAGTACTTACGTTGAAGTAGTTGTTCCGGTAATTAGGTTTTCGTGGTCTGCAAGAAGGGTGCACAGGTGGAAGTACGCCGCATTATTGTTCCCGAGATCTTCACATCGCATTCAGCATAATTTGATTTGTATAGGGAGTGAGTTTGTGTTCAAAGGTTTAAATTGGAAAGGCGGGTTGGTTGGATGGATGGGCAGAAAGTCAAGCACTTGTGAGAGAGTTGGATGTTGAGTTTCATGAATTGGTAGAAAGGGAAGGAAATCTGCGTGAAGTGAACACGATGCTCGCACAGTTTGCAAGAGCTGCGGTCCGGAGGCACTTGGCCAGGGCATCGGCGCCTCAGCTGCTGTCGCGTTCGTTTGCTCAGACTGCTGAGCAGGTTGTCGACACATCGCCTACTATCAAGGTATTTATCCTCTTACGTCTCGTCTCCAGAGGGGTCTCTGGAGATATTCTTTGTGACTATGAAAATACTGTGGACTGTCTACCAAATACCCAGCCGACATTTTAGGTTCTTCAGAGACTGTTACTTAGAGCTTTTTTTTGCGCATTGCCCTTTGTCATCTAACAATTGTGTAACACTAGGTAACGATTTTAGGGATGTCTAGGGTAGCACGTAGAGAGAGTATGCGTGATTCATGTGTTTCAGGTCTGGCGATTGTTTACGTGTTCATTGTGTACACTCGATTGTCCTTTGTTTAATTTCAAGCTGGATTTCGTATCGCTTAGTGTGTATTTTCTGGCTGCTTACGTTCTTGCAGAAAGCTAACGTAGCCACAATCCCAAACATGTAGACTTGAGTAGACATGCTTCTAGCGTATTAAGTATTCTGCTTCAGTATACTAAATATATATGAATGTGCTGAATTATTCCTGATTTAACTTCGGATTACTAAATTTGCAGTGGGACTTCATTTCGGATCAATACTCCCACTTTTTTCCTATTATGTAGATTGTTAATTATGAAGTGACATGTCCGCAGGATACCGAAACTGAAACTCAAAGGACAATTACGCCTCGTTCTTTGAGTTTGGATCCTAATTCCAGGTTTCGTGTGTCGGATCCTGTACCTGAAGGCTTTAAACGCACTGTGCTCAAGCTTCTGGGGTATTATAGCAGGCAGAGTCGTCTTATTCGTGGGGCCAATACCCTCTATTCTAGAATCTCTTCTCAGGTGGACCAGCCCGAGCTCTATGCAAGTGAGTCATCTCCCATTCTCAAAATTCAAACACTGATGCAAGTACTGGTATACTTAAGCATTCATGATCTGAGATTGTTAGGAGCTTTCGTGTTACTTTTTTGCTTTATATTATGTTTGTGTCCTTTGTGCTATGAATAGAGTCATTCGTATGGCATGACTATGGTGCTGTTAAGTAGTAGAAATACTTACTCTGAGACACTCTAAATTTATAAGTTGTTTTGTTGTGAAGACTTCGCACTTGAACAGAGTTTCAGAACAACGCATGCCATGTTAGTTCTTCATATGTGGCTGTCTCTAGGCCGCCTGAGGTCAGAGGGTAAAGATGGTGCAGCTATGGGTCAGTCGTTATACGACGCTTTCAACCATGATTTAGAACGACGCATAATTGCAACAGGGGCAAGTTCTCAGCGCCTACGCTTCTTTCTCAAGCATAAAAGCTTGTCACTAAATGTTTCATTACATTTTCTACTTTTTCAAATACTATATCTGACTGAACGGTACCTGTTGGATTACAGTTAAAAGTGTTGCTATCAAAATGGATGAAGGAATTAGAAAAGAATTTCTATGGTGCAGTTGCTGCTTATGATAATGCCATGAGGCCTGAGGCTGCACAGGATGAGCTTGCACGGGCTTTATGGAGGTATGTGGTTTCAAAATGCCATGATCGTTGATCGCTAGCAGTTAGTAGCACCACTTTATTGGTTCGGGATGCCGATTGGCTTGTCCTCCTCAAATTTAACTACCTGGGTCAAGATTCAAGATTCTTAGGCGCGGTGACTAATATTTTCGCATGCTATGCTTTTCTTGATTGAAACCTACTAGATGGTTGGCACTAATTGGTGTTTTCTTGCTGTTTATGGCAGGAATGTATTTGCAGAAGATGACGCTATCATGCCCACTGGACCGAATGCCACACCTGTACATGTGGGCACTCTAAAATACTTTTGTCTTCGACTTATCCATTTATTATATCTTCATGATACCTCTGATGATTATATTTACGATTCTAAGCGGAGTTTATGTATCCTTGGTTTCGGGCAACTATTTAAGTAGATTTAGTTCAGCAATTGTTTTTTCTCAGATGAGAACCGTGCGTCCACGGAGGGAACAGAGCGGCTGGTTTATCATGCTTAATGATTTGGTCTAATGTTTGGAATGCATCGTGTGCAGGCACTGGCAAGACATGTTCGGAAAGAAGTAGCCTCTCTGGCTTTGACTGGTGAGTAAAGTTTAATTTCTTATTTAATTAATTTATTATCTGGTGGGTGCAATCTAAGATTATTAGCAGGTTTTCATTTCTATTAGGATTATTCTAGAAACAGTAAGATGTCAAGTGTCTTGCAAAGTCATCCTTGGCTTCATCGTCAGCTGAAACCTGGTCACCGAGGAATACTTTTGCATTTTCATACATTAAACTGTACGGTCTCATTATGTTGTGGTCGTCAAGTTACAAAATTTTATCTTGTTCTTGCTGTGAAGTCGTAACTTCTATCTGAACCTTTTGGCAGATTCGGAGTCCTTTATGACAGGAAACATAATGTTTTCCAAAGACTTTGGAAGTGACTAAGTGAGTCCACGAGGGTTCTACAACAGATACTTCAATCAAGTGAAGCGTGACTGGTGATTTGTAGGGAGCATGCTTCTCATGTCAATTAAATTTACGTTTGAAACGGTGCATTCGAAATGATGTTGTATGTACTAGAATTTTAAGGATGACTTCAGGCGTGGACATGCTGTTATCCAAACAGTGGGCGTATAATTGTATCTTCTGCTCCAGATGAGCATGTTCAAGTGTCACCTTTTCAGATCAATCACCTTATTGCAGAGATTTTCCTAAATGGATGTCTTGCGACACTTCAATCAGTTATCCAAGAGCTTAGATTGCAAGATTTACCTTCATCACATTTAGAAGAAGAATTCTGTTTTGAACAAGTACTTTGCAAATCAAAACCATGGTTTGTTAAGTGGTAGTCTTGTGGAGGATTCTACTTTTTAATCTGAGTGGGAGAAATTCACAACTCAACATCAAGTATTTAAAGTACTTGAAGATATTAGAATTGCAACCTATCATCCATGAATGCCTTTTGAATGCATTTCAACAAAATTAGTTACGATTTTAGAATTTATTTATATCATTACAAGACATCCAAATTGATTAGTGAAAAGAATACAACATTTTTCTTGAATATTTTAGAAATTAGACTTGGCCACTTAGTAAGTTAATTGAACTTAAAAATTAGCCAACTTTAATGGTTAGCCACTTGTTGAGAATATGAGTTGATTAGCTATGGTTTAAGTTGTTTAATCCTCATAATTTATATGGATTAGCTATTCAACAATTAGTTAATTAATAATCAATTGAATTCAATACTTTTTTATTTTATTTTCTGAATTTGATACATTGCTTATTGTTATAAGCAATTATTGTTCGGTGTCTAGAGAATATAGATAAATATAACTATGAAGCCAACAAAGGACCTCTTATATAGCTATTTTGATATTTGTTAATGATGAATAAGACAAATAATATAAAGAAGATGACGTAATTGACTTAGACAATGACAATCCATCAATATTCAAACAATGCTACCATCTTTATTTGTTGTTGTAAATATCTCTATTTTTGAACAAAAAGTCAAGAAAGAAGAAAAAATCTTTGTTGTAGATGTGAGACTATTATGATGTTAATGATTATTCAATATGTATGGAATATCTATCAATAAACTCTAAAAATGTATGTTTATATGCTTGATTGACTTTGAAAGGTAGTCTTATCCGTGTTATATTACTACATGTTGTTAACAAAACAAATTGTTGGTCTAAAATAAATACCAATTATGTATAGTCACATGAAAATTCACATTAAGATAATATTGCATAGCTATACATTAATAAGCTCTACACTCAAGCTTCTATTATCTCTTAATAGGACTAGTCTTGTATTATAAAAAAATCACAAGGAAAAATCTAAAGACAAGGCTTTATTTCCTATATTCCAACAACTCACTTCACACACAAGACTTGAGAAGATTAAAAGAAAAGAGAAACAATCAAGGATTTGTTCTACCAAACTACTTCCAAAATATGTCTTTTTACACATCTTCCAAGCTAGATATTAATAGCCCAATTTTATTTAGTCCAAATCAACATTAACAACTTTATATCACACACATATATATTAATACTAGTAATTATTTAGACAAGAGGAGTTAAATAAAATTAAAAATAGATAAAATTGATATTATCTTATAGAGAAGCTTCATAGATGCAAATTTAAGTTTATAAGTCTTTGTAGGTGATTTGTAGATTGAAAACTTTGCTAACAAGTTGGCCATGTTTTGCATATGTTAACAATTTTTTTACAAGTTGGCTATATAGTGCATATATTGAAAACTTTCCAAGCAAGTTAGAGATGTGTGCTGCAAGTTGACATGTGTGAGATGACCTCTAAAATGTTATCATATAGCTTCTTAATTAAATAATACATTTGACGGTAATAGTGATGTTTTTTTCACTCTTATCAACATCTTTCTTGTATTTCTCTCTTCACTTAAGAATCTCTAGTTTCTTTGTATTTGGCAATAACCATTCTAATTTTTATCTTATAGCTATCTTTGATTTGCCTACTTTCTCTCTTTAAATGTTACATGAGTATATTATTTCTTTGGTGTTTTGTTATGATTTAGATTCTTAATACTTTATTATCACCAAAATCAACCTATTTTAGTCTAGAAGATGACACTTAACTACTACATTATAAAATAATGTGACATGTATCACCTAAAAGTTACTTATAAGATTGATAATGATAGTGGTATTATTCAAAATCATATGAACATGATGGTATCTAACATTAGAGATTTGGACCATAACAACAATATAAGCAATTTCCTATGTGCCAAAGTATTGAAAGAAATATTAGTGATATAGTGGTAAAATAATCATTTGTTATTGTTAAAAAGTTATTGTTTACGAATCTTGTAAAGACACTCTACTAACACTATAAAGTTCTTTGTTGTTGTACGTTAAAGATGATACTTAGAAATGTATTTGCTATCATCAATTTAAAATTTTATTAAATATTAGATGGCATTACTTCTCACTTTGGATTCATTCTAGACTATTCATTATTGAAGATATTTTGCCACTATATCACTATCACTATCTATTATGTAAGTAAAGACTAAAAGTTATATTTGGTGGTTTTAATTATTCAAATACTTTTCACTTTTGCATAACACTATAACCACTAATGATATCATGGATGATTTACTACAAGAATTTGGCATATTAACGTATATTATAGATATCACTACCAAAAACAATGTTGAGATAGGAAATGTAATGAAGCTTTTAAGAAAGTTGATAAATAACAAACATTCTAATAGCATCCATGAGATTTTTTATACTTGTTGCATCTAACATGAAATTAATCATGTCATAAAAGATATAGAGTCATGTACAAAGAAAGATGCCTATAAGGCTTGCAAAATATTAAATTATATTTGTTATATCAATGTGGTGCTTAATAAATTTTAAGCAATTTAGGTTTATTTGGATGGCACAAATATCATTTTACTACAAAGATTTGTACAATATAGATGCATTCTATGTTGCTATGTTGAATTATACTATTTTTTCATCTAAATAATAGATGCTTCTATCTATTACTATATTTCTTTGTATTTTTAATATCATAACTAATTTAATCTCATTAAAGTTGTATGTGACGATATTTCTTTAATATATTATATTCAAATTATTTTTTATCTATTGTAATAATATTATATTATTATATTGTTTAACTAGACTTGAGACATTCCAATCAAAGATGGTTATTCTTGCAATATAGTTAAAAAAAAAAAAATTATATAAAAGCCACTTGCTCAATTTATTATTTACACTAGCTTAATTTTTGGATTTAAGTTGAGATATGTTCTACTTTGATCTTAAACTATTATTAACATGTTTTTTTTGATATCCTCTTTCTTGAATATAACAATATCATGAAGATATATATTTACTCAAATAATTATCTAGATAATATAAAAAAATAGAAATAGATTAAAATAGATAAATTTGATAATATCTTGTAGAGAAGCTTTTTAAAAATTTCATAGATATGGCTTTGATTTTACATGTATTTCTAGTTGTTTAGTATGTTAGAAACTTGGCCAACAAAGTAGCTTGTATCACACATGTTGATAGCTTGTAATAGAAGCTAATTATGTAGCACACATATAAGAAACTTGTCTTGCAAGTTAAGACATATGTCTTGTAAGTTTGACACATGTCAGAGGTCCTATAAAACATTGTCATGTAGCTCTTAGTTAGATAGTACATACAAAAACAAGAGTGAAGTCTTTTTTACTCTATCAATTCTTTTCTTGTTTCTAGTCTAGTTTCAAGAATCTTCAATTTTCTAGTCTTTAGCAATAGCCATTCTAATTTTTGGTTATATATATATATATATATATATATATATATATATATATATTACTTTGTCATCTCTCTTTGATATACATCTCATTTGTTTATGCATCGTCTTTGAATTTTTGTCCCTGACAAATAAATACCAAACAATCCTAGAAGTATAAACAAATCAAGAAAGAAAAATCATAATAATATATTGATGAGAAAATATAATCAAGATGAAGTTCATATTATTTAGATTAAAGCCATTTAATTTCTTTGTCCATCTTTTCAATATTATATTTTCTGTTAAAAGATTTCCAATTTCTCAAAACCAATGTTCTTTAACAATGACCAATTTGTTTGGCTAATGAATTCTAACATCTCTAAAAAGAACTTAGAGATGAACATATTGATCTAATTTTAGAATCAAACAATGGATTTAATTATATCAATATTATCAATATATATAAACACATATTATGTAAAATCCATTATTTATTACTACATTATCTATCTCATCAATAATATTAACAACTTATTATGCTTCAATTAAATTGTCTATTTGACTCTATTGCATAGTGTTTGTTCAAAAAAAATTAGTAGATAGTTATTAATACAATCTAAAATAATCAATTCAAATAATATTTAAAATTTTGATAAAAAATATTAGATTTATTTATTAGTTAAAAAATATCAAAAATTCTTCTTTAAAATTAGATTTTTTCTAATCAAATCAAATAAAGAATGTTAAGATAATAGTATATATTAATAATGGTTGCTAAGATTTACAATAGTTAAGGTTGAAGCATTTTGAACTACTATTGTTAATAAATATTTTAGCTATAAAATATCCTTTTATATTTTATTTCTAATTTAAAATACAAAAGAAAAAAGAAAGAAGAAATACAAAATGAACAATAACAACAAAGTCTATTAATTATTATATTTTATTGTTTTGAGATATGATATGATATCTTTTGTTATTATTTTAATTAAGTGTCTTATGTAGATAGAAACTTCTATAGACATCTATCTACTAAAAGATTTGAAATTCTACTATAATTGTATACTTGATCCAAAACCACTTTAGAATTTAATAATTTCTTAAAGATGATAATGTTTAGTTAAATGATTAATTTAATGTATTTCATAAGTATGTTATTTAGTGATATTTGATTGTTTGAATAAAAAAACATACATATGTTATTATATTATACAATTTTTTATAATTTTTGTAATTCCATAATTATATTAAGATAATTGAAATTTTGATACTATTTATCTTAAACATAAAATTCTTATATTGAAGAAGAAAAAATCAAATAATGTTCCTTGCAATAGCATTCAAACAAAAGGATGAAAGAACATCCCTTCTAGAATGCTCTTTAGAATATTTGGTATCTGCTTTTTTTTCTCTCTCTCTTTCTCTCCACACTTCTAATCTTTTTTACTTCTAATCTTTTTATAATGGAGTAATTGTTTATATCATATCAAATCTAAAAATGTGTAAAATATTTTTAAAACCATTTTTAAAAAATATAACCAAAAAACTTCTTTAAAACTCTTAAATTAAAAATAAAAATAAAAATAAAAACATTTATAATAATTTGTCTTCTAAATATTTTAGACTTGTATAAGGATCATTTTACTATGACATTTTAAACCACTGCAACTTTTAAAAACTTACAACTTCTCATCAACAATTCTAATTGAGGTGTTTTAGTCATGCAATCATATATGGTTTTTTTTTTTTTTCATACAATCATTTGTTAGAGGGATAAAAAAAATAACTAAAAATGTATTGTGTTAATTTTTTTCTTAAAATTAAATAATATAACTATAAAAAGGAAATATATATATATATATATATATATATATATATATATATTTATTTATTCTGTTACTAATAACTCAAGACAATAATGATTATTTTGAATAAGTCTATGAAATTTTGAAGGTGGTGAATAATGAAGCAATAAAATCAACAAACATAATTAAATTACAAGATGAAATACTTTCACAATGAAAATCAAATATTTAATACCCTTTATGCTAAAATATCAATCATTTACATAATCAATCAATAAATTTTTTTTATTTTTTTATTTTTTTAAAAAAACGCCCATTGTATATTTATTCATTTGCTTGAAAAAAAATTAAGACAAAACAAAATTGTTAGAAAATTTGTGATATCCACATTTCAACTAAAGCAATGCAAAGTAAACGCAAGAATGCGAGCCCCAGCCCCAACATTCGCCGCTTTCCCACTTTTTTTCATAGCCTAGTAAAAGTAAAAGTTTTGACCAGCAAGTTAAATTCGCATTAGGGTTCGGGGTTATCGTCCCAAGCGGATTATTCACACACAGCGGTCCGGAGTCCTTAAACCCTAAATCCTCGTCGAGCTGCGGTGGATGGCGCAGACGGAGACTGCCCCTCGCCCTCCTCGTCTTCTCGCTGCCTGTGTCTGTATCGTGACCCTGTTTTCTTCTTCCTCCTCCTCGTCCCTGGATTTGCACAATCCTCTTGCCCACTTGACGCTGCTGTAGCCATGACGATTGCTAAGCCAGGCACGCCGGGGGCTCTGTCCATATGCGAGAATGTTGTGGTGGTGCTCGATTTTGGGTCGCAGTATACCCACCTCATCACGCGGCGAATTCGTGGCCTGCACATCTCCTCGTTTTGCTTGCCTGCGGGGACGCCGCTTGACAAGATCCAGGCTCTGAAGCCTTCTGTTATTATCCTCTCGGGTGGTCCGCACTCCGTGCACCTCGAAAATTCCCCAACTCTTCCCGAGGAGTTCTTTTCTTACGTACAAGAGCAAGGGATCACTGTGTTGGGAATTTGCTATGGGTTACATTTAATTGTGAAGTTGCTCGGAGGCGAGGTGAAGCAGGCTGAGCACCAGGAGTATGGTCGTATGCAGATCTCTGCCGTCGAGGGGAGCCGCCTATATGGCGACGCTGGGTCTATTAACAATCAGACCGTGTGGATGAGCCACGGTGATGAGGCTGTGAAGCTGCCGCCTGGGTTCAAAGTTGTGGCCACTAGTACGCAGGGTAATATTGCCGCTATTGAAAATGTGGATTCCAGAATCTACGCCCTCCAATACCATCCCGAGGTTTATTTTCCCTCTTGTTCATCTTCGCTTTGCATTCCGTGGGTCAGAGGTTTAGGGTGATTCTCACCTTGGGCATGCAAAATCAAAGCGTTGGGGTTTCCCCGGTTGGGAGTAGCTTCTGTGTGTAGGTTTTAATTCCCCCAAATTAAGACTTATGAAGAATTTTATCGCTTGGCAGGTTACGCACTCAGAGAAAGGGACAGAGACTTTGAGACACTTTTTCCTGAATGTCTGCGGCATGAAGGCTGACTGGCAGATGCAGAATGTGTTGGAGGAAGAGATTAAAAAGGTCACTGCGACCGTCGGCCCAGATGATCATGTTATTTGTGCACTCTCCGGGGGCGTGGACTCAACAGTAGCAGCTACTCTGGTGCACCGTGCTATTGGAGATCGCCTTCATTGTGTGTTTGTAGATAATGGCCTTTGCAGGTAGTGATTTTAGCTTCGTCCTCCCCTCCTTGAGAAAGCTGGCTTGTTCTGGACTTTCATCTCCCTACAAATGTATACGCCAACCTCAATTTCCTTCGTATCACTATGATGAATTTGTCAATTTCAGGCGTATTCAGGATAATTGTGAGAAGTGAACCACCTATATGGAAATGGCTGGTCTTTTTAGTGATAATGGCTAGTGAAACCTTCTAAGAGCACTTCAATTTTGCTCAATTCTTTACTATTGCTGGACTCTTCAATTTTGTTGGACTCATCACTTTTGCTGGGTTTTTTTTCGCGTTTCAGATACAAGGAAAGAGAAAGAGTGATGGCCACATTTGTGAAAGACCTTCATCTGCCAGTCACTTGTGTGGATGCCACTGAGCAGTTTCTCAGCAAATTGAAGGGCGTGGTAGATCCAGAGAGAAAGAGGAAGATCATCGGAGCAGAGTTTATTGCAGTCTTTGATGAATTTTCGCACAGATTGGAGAGAGAGATTGGAAAGATGCCTGCTTTCCTTGTGCAGGGAACACTTTATCCAGATGTCATTGAGTCGTGTCCTCCTCCAGGGAGCGGGAAGTCGCATTCCCACACAATCAAAAGTCATCACAACGTCGGTGGCTTGCCCGAGAACATGAAATTGAAGTTGGTTGAGCCTCTCAAGTGGCTCTTCAAAGACGAGGTACAATTTCCTGAATGTGCTTGTGAAGCGCGTTGACTTGTGGGCACCCTTCTCATTTGTGCCCGTACCTTGAGTTGTGGACAATCTGAAAATTTGTTCAGGAATCTCATCACTTATGATAAGGTTGACGTATGCAGGTACGCGAAATGGGTGCATTGTTGGATGTACCTGTTTCCTTTTTGAAGCGCCATCCTTTCCCTGGACCTGGATTGGCCGTGCGAATTCTTGGGGATGTAACTCAGGACGGCGCACTCGACACTATCCGCTTGGTAAGAGTTGAGGCGTCTTTAAAGGCCTTCCCTTTCGGACAGGATATAGATCTTTGATCAGCAATTTATTTATTTATTATTTACTCTCTCTCTTTTTTTTTTTGATGATTATGGATTGGACGTTCCGCTAAGAATTTCATCTGTGAAAACGCGATAAATTGGAGCACTTTCTCGCAGGTTGATGAGATCTTTGTGAACAGCATTCGAGAGGCAGGTCTTTACGATAAGATCTGGCAGGCATTTGCTGTTTATCTGCCAGTAAAGACTGTTGGCGTTCAAGGCGACAAACGGACACATTCACACGCTGTTGCTCTACGTGCAATTACAAGTGAAGACGGAATGACTGCTGACTGGTATGGCATCCGCTCCGTTTTCTGTATTCCTGATTGGTTGTTCTCACAGTTACAAAGTTTTCTATTGAACCGCCTAGAGAGAAAACTTTGAAATACTGATCGAGGTTACTCTCTGATTTGTATGTCCTTGATTTACCAGATGTTTATTAATCTTTCTAATAATCTGATGAAGGATTTCATTCATTTTTGTTCAATGATTGCTTCGACATAATAGCTATGGATGTGGTTTTTTCTTGTAGGTTTCATTTTGATGGAAAGTTTCTTGCCGAGGTATCATCTAAAATCTGCAACAGCGTAAGGGGTATCAATAGGGTGGTATACGACATTACGTCTAAACCTCCATCAACTGTTGAGTGGGAATAGACGTCAGTAATGTATTTTGGAAGTACTGTTGGTTATGACGATTCACTGCAATACTTAACAAACTATTTTATACTTCATTTGGGAATTTTGTTCCTTCTTTAATCTTTGCGACGAATCACTGGATAGGAGCAGCACATTGTACGAATTATCGCTGAAGTTTCTGGGCTGTACAGAGCGTTGCTTCAATTCCGTTAATTGATTTCTCAATATTTGCAGTTAAGAGCTGGTAAGCATGTCAAGCTCAATTCTGTTTCTTAAGCAGTAAAACTATTCAATTGTGCTCTTGAAACTAAAGTTGTTAAATTTGTGTGGTAGTTTCGAGACTTCGAACAGCAATAATTGTTGCGGAAGAGGCTATCCAGAGTAATACATTTGACTTTGCACATTGAACTCATTATTGCTTCTTTGCCAGATAGGTGGCAGGGCGTTGGTTCGTCGCTTAAACGCTTAATCTCTTAGGACTCGGATCGACTTTTTTGTCGAGTGGAATGTCGGTGTAGGACTTAATTTGAGGTGAACATAATGCAAAAGTTTCCCTTACGTCATCTTACTCAACGGTTTGTAAGAAAGCAAACGAGGTGTACAATTAATTGGATATGTGCGAAGGTGTCAGCCACGACCTTCCCCTACTTGATCAAAACTAGTTGCAAACGGTGGTATCAGTAAGTTATTAACTAAAGACATTTATTTTGTTCCCATGTTTATTTCTGTGTCGATTCCAAGCCAGTGCTGGTGCCTTGACGAAATGACTGAGAAATCAGTCACCGATTCTAAGAGACTTCGCGACTCTCGGAAGGTTTTGACCACTTAATGAAGATATTTTGGACGTACTTTCCCCACATTTTCTTCATGTTAATGTTCATGTTCGTGACTCTTCTCGCGGGGAATTAGATGTGGCGTCTATCTATCATCTGTAAGATTCCCGACATTTATCCTACAGGAAGAGTGAAAGCAGAACATCACACCTTAACAACATTTTTCAAACCCATGACCCCCAAATAGGTGCTTCTTTTTGTTATATTAGGGTACAAAACCTAGGAATGTTGCTAAACTGAAAGGTATTTGAAGACCCAATTCAGTCCATCAGTGGTTGTGGTGAACGCTTCAGCTTTGTCAAAGCTTTGTAAATTTCAGTACTGGTCCTAGTCTTTTTTACAGCGTTCCCGTGGATATCCGGTGTCCTACATTCGACCTCCAGAGCAAAGTTTCAGACGCTTCCGGAGTCTTCCATTGTGAAACTCATTAAAAAACGAAACAAAGAATGTGGGTTGATAGTACTTAGCATCTCGTGTTGATCAGGAGCACCACAACCTAGACCTATTGAGTGTGGCATCTCGTGCTTCCGTCGGCAGATAGTTCTCATTTGGTCGTTGCTTCTAGAACGCACGCCGCGGATTGGACTTCGCGCGGGGAAGTGCAGCGGAGAGTGAGTGAAGGAAAGTCTGGAATGTTCAGATTCACGGATTGTCGTCGCAAGCACACGTCAGCGGCATCACATGCTTTGAGTACCATCTCTGTAGTCAGGAATAAACTCGGCCAGGTTCACGACCTTACATTGGGCTCCCGGATTTGCGACACCCACTCGCTTGTGTTCCTTCGGACTCGATACCAGCTAGTCAAGCTTGGAGGCAGAAAACTTGCCTCGCTGCGCAGGCAGCATTCGGCTTCACCGGCGCCAAGAGTGAAGACGATCATCCAACCAGTCGACGGTGCAGACGATCATCCAACCAGTCGACGGTGCAGGATGGGCTCATGGGCTGTGGCAAGGGCAGTGCCGGTGATAGGGGTAGGGGCAGCCGTGTGTGGCCCAACCAACCAACAAACCTCCAAAGGCTCTCTCTCTCTCTCTGTATGATCGGAGGCTTTGGAGCAGTATCATATCTCGCAGAATGGGCGACGCTTTTCAGGACCAAAAAGTGAGAAGACCATATCGATTACCGTTTTCCCGCAGCGTCACACCGCCACCACTGTTTTTGCTAGAATCGTCCAGATCTAGCCCGACGCCGCGGGGATTAGTGCAGCGAATCCTGGTCGTCGTTGCCGAAGTCTAATTCAAATCGGGTTCGGATCAAGCTTTCGCATCCGCAATAGTTTGTAAGTCTGAATGCATCGCCTGTTGCGACGGATTGCTTCAGAGTGAGATGCGAGTGATTCTGAACCGTGGCAGGTAAGAAAAACCTCGCTGTGAGTATTATTGAGTGAGTGAGTGAGTGGATTCGAATCCTGCGCGTCAATCTTCAGTTCCTCTCGCCGCGGCCACGCGATTCGCGGCGTCCGCGGCGCGAGGACGCGAGTGGGCTTTCTGGTTACTACCTGATAGCGTTCTGGTAGTGTACTGGTACCCTCCTGGTAGGCTTCTCCTCAAAAATGCAGAGCTTTTTGGGTGTTTAATTGAAATGTGACGTCTTCTTTTACCTTCTTCTTTATTATTTTATTATTTCATTATTTATTTTGAATTTTTCATATGAAATAAATAAATTCAATCAAGGTGGAAATATTCAAACATTTCATTAAAAACTAGTACAAATGTTATACAAATGTATCTGACATGTGATATTTTATAGGACTATGATTTATGCTTTTTGTATTTGAAAAAATATATATTATAAAATTTCAAGTGTGTTTCAAGAAAATTTTGGGAAATTTTTGATCATTCATTATTCTTATGACGAAATAATTTGAACAGAAAAAAATTCTTCTAGATTTTTTATTTAAAAAATAAAGAAGCTTTCAGAAGTCCATAATTTTTTTTGATAAAAGAATCATATTCAAAATTTTAAATATTCTTACAATAACTAAGAAGAGAAAGAAACACAACATACTTATGTGCAAATGGAATTATTTAAATTTCTATGAATACATATTACAATACCAAAAAATTATCATGACTCTACTTATTGACAAAATTAGTATTCACAAATAACCGTTTTCGAAATGAGATCATTCTCTTTATTAAAGACTGCGTTTAGTTTTAAATTTCATAATTAGAAAGGAAAAAAAAACAAACAATCATTTCAAAACAATTCTTTTAGAAAAACTTACCAGACAATAATTACTTCTACAACCTTATGAAATATTATGACCTACAACACGTCTTTGCAAAATCAGGTAATTAAAATATAGGGTAAATTTTTTGGCTTTGTTTGTTAAGGTTTTATGCAAAAAAATCCGATTTAAATAAATAGATTGTTTTTATGTTTACCTTGACCTGAAATAAGGGTTATCATTGTTAATTGAAATTAATAATTAACATAAACCTTTACTTTTACCATTTTAAGGGTGATCGTTGTCAATTAAAATTAATAATAAAATTGAAAATTGATAAGAAAATAAGTGCTACATCCTTTATTACCTTCAAATAAGAAGAGAAAAGAGGACAAGGAAAAAGAAAAAGAAATCCTAAGTGACTCTAGAACCGTTACATAACACCGAAAGAAAAAGGACCTGAATTGAGGTATGTAATGTCCCATTTTAATATTGTTTATGCAGCAAAACCATAAAATAAAATTGAAAAAGTAAAAGTATATAATTCATACATACATACATACATACATATATATATGTATAAATGGCTTCTTTTTTGCTTTTCCCAAAGTACCATAAAGTATATATTTTTCTGCCCCCTCAACCCATGGAATATATGTTTATATCCATCTCTATAGGTAACGCCAGCTGCTACATCATTCAAACTACAAAGCTCGAACCCCCACCCGAGGCAGCCTCTTCCCGTGCTGCCAGTGTGAACACGGAACGCCCCCCTGCTTGCTTCCCCCCAGCTCACATAGCCGCCACTGGACCACGACCGGCCGACGTGGCAGCTACGTGCCGATTTTTCGTAGGACCAAGTGTGAGAGCTCGCAAGATGATGTCGATGTGGCACGTCTATCCGTCGCCGCTATTTTCCTACGTGGCGGACACGCTGGCAATTTCATAGCAGACGTCCGGCAGTTCCACCGGGTCTGTCCGTCACGTCCGGTAATATCGGTTTCCGTCTTCGTTGCCCTGGGGGTTCTCAAGGTGGAATTGAAGCGCTAGATTTTGTGAGTTGGTGGATCAGATAATTTCTGAAAGGCGCTGATCTGGAGGCTTTTGACGCGCTCCCATGAACGGTCGCCGTCCCCAAACGATCGTGATCTCGAAGAAAACAGCACAAAAAGGGGGCAAGTGTGATGAGATTTAACTGAGGCAGGACTTTTTATTATATATATTCCGTAAAGTAGACGCGATTCTGCAGTTCTAGATATTAAGTTGGCACAACGTGTCGACATATTATGGGCACTAGCACACTTGCAGTTGGCCTGGGCCCATTGGAGCACTCGCATAATATATTTGTTGGCCCTCTTCCTGGCCTCATTCACTTTGTGTCATCTTTCGTACCGTTTCTGTTTTTTAACTTCTAGACTTCACGGGAACCGTCCAGCGCTTTGTAAATAGCCTGAGAGCCATCATCCTTGTTGAACGAATTCACAACTCATCACACCCACCACCTGCTGGGCATGATTGTTGCAGTTGTATCAAAAATATAGTTGTTGTAGTGGTAGAAGTAGTAACTGAACTGCGGCCGCTCCGTTTCTCTGAGATCGTCTTTCTTGTGGCATTCACTACTGTCAGGTAGAGTAGGGTTCCAGTTGACGCTTGAACTTGGATACGAAAGAGGCTTTGTGGAATTGAGAATTTGTAGTGTAGGTGTTGCGAAGGATTTTGGTCCCGGTTCTGTGAAGGGCAGGAGGAATCTGGTGGAGAACAGATTGCAATGGTGGATAAGAACAGAACCCAGAGAGCTGCGATGGAGGTTAGGGCAGGGGCACGGCATTGCCTAGCTCCAGTGAAGGAGGAGGAGACTCCTTCTGCAAGCCCCAAGTATAGAGGAGTTCGCATGCGGCAATGGGGGAAATGGGTTTCGGAGATTCGGGAACCGAACAAGAGGTCGAGGATTTGGTTGGGATCCTTCCCTACGGCGGAAATGGCAGCTAGAGCGTATGATGCTGCTGTGGTATGCTTGAGAGGTCCTCATGCTGCTTTAAATTTCCCTGACTCACCTCCCCAATCACTTCCTGAATGCCACTCGCCGAAGGATATCCAAGTGGCCGCTGCTGCGGCTGCCGCAGTCGCTGAGCCTTGTACTCCTGTGACGCTCCCCTTCAATGGGGAAGCGCAATCACTTGATGCGCAACTTAGGAGCATTAAGAATGAGACGAATTTGACGCCTAGATCGCACCAAAGGCCTGCGGAATCGGAAAACTCTGGTACTTCGGCGGAGCGATCTTGGAAAAGCGCTTCGAAATCTGAGGTTGTCGTGGATGAGGAGCTTGATTGCACAGGGGAGTCGACACCCCACGCCGGAGTGGAGTTTGTTAGCTTGGAAGATGTGGGATTGGCCTGGGACGGAATGAAGTCTGATGACATCAAATTCTTGGAAGGCTTGGAGGACATTGAATTTCCTGGTTCTAACCTCTACGGCCACGCTGATGATGCGCCAAGAAAACTTATGAAATCATTCTCTGGACGTCGCGTTGTGCCACAATACTGTCGTCAATTTTCGGGCAGGTTTGAGCCCTTAGGCAACGTGCCGGACGTTTACAACGTATTCAAGGTTTAATCGGTGAATTCATCGTGCCCACGTTCAACATTAGAATCTGAATTAGAGGCGATATTGTGGCGTTGGTCTTCGACAGAAACCATTTCTTCAGAGGTGCAGCCTGCGGCGGCAATCACACAAGATAACCTCTCATTTGAGTGTAGCATAGACAGGAGCTTCTGCTAGAAAGCTCGGCCATCTTTCTTCAGTATTGTGCAGAAATCGATGGATCTCTACAAACAAACGTAAAATTCTTTGGATGGTAACTTCTAGCTGATTTTTGACAGATCATAGCGCCATGATATGTTCGGAGTGCTCTTCGTTCCGATAGTAATATACAACACTGCACTGAAAGAAAAAGAAAAGCACATTGCGAATCGAAACCTGTAAATAAATCTCGGATAGCATCCTATGGGTGCTGCAGTTCCCATCCACTTTTTTGTGCATGTTTGTCACCCCAGCCTACACCTGAATACGACCATGTATTAATCTTCATTTTACTAGCGATGAAAGTTATCCTGATTGTGCTTAATGCTTCTATGAACTGCAAGGCCTTTGCATCAAAAAAATCTATCTTTCTTCTTGTGAAGTATCATTGTTTCTTTATGACGATCACAGGTGTTTTATTCGTCAACAATCAAAAAAACAGATTTGATGTGTGGAATGCTCTACTTGCAACCAAATGATGGACGATGGTGCTGCACTGTCAATCATGTCAGACAGACGTCAGCCGTATATCAAGCTTCTGCATCAGGTCCTCTTCCCGCTTCGTTTTTCGGGGCTGACGATTACTTCCTTGCCAGGGGTGTGAAAGGGTTCACCATCACTTCGAGTATTTTATTCCAGGCTCTCAAACCCTTCACTTGACTTCATTGTAGTTAAGCACAAAAGGCTTTCTTTCTGTAGCAGCTCCCTACATTATGTTCCAAAAGTCGTAAGTCCAACAGAACAATGTTTCCAGTGATGCCAAAGCGACCCAAGAATAATACGGTACATACTCACCATGATAAATCGCCCTATTCTGAGACATAGAAATCCTTCAACGACTCACGGTCGTCAAACTTCTACCACAAACCAAGTCTCGGTTACATCTCTCTCCATCCAAACACAGAGTTCGTGAAGCAACAGTCGCCCCTGAATCAACACCTGGGGGGGGGGGGGGGGGCAACGACCCACCATCACCAACTGGCAGCTGACAGTGATGAAGTGCTGCGAAAACTGTAAGATACAGCAGCGGAATCAGCGCCACCATGAGCTGCCCAGCCAAGTGGACGGCGAATGACAACTAACCCTTAACTTGAGCAAAGCCGTGTGGGACATCCATCGCGATATTAGTGTGATCAGATGCTAGTACTGGGCCACACACACACATCGGAAGATGGAACCCACCATGAAACCTGATTGCCCCTCACTGTCTGACACATCTCTATCCCTCACTTTTCAGCCACTTGTCGAATATCCATGGTTTTTATTTTATTCTGTTTTACTTTTTCTTCTCTCCATCTCTCGCTGTTGCCGTAAGTCAGACGCTTTTCCCAACTCGACTGACCTTCGATTCGTCCACCAACTGACATCTGTCTTCGCATGAATCCGTGGAGCTTTGGACTGAGCAATTCCAACCCAACTCATCGAGTGAGATTTCTGGTAGAAGCCCGCCGAGGAGATTCGAGGGGACAGGGATTGCGAGCTCCGTGGCTGAGATGGTTTGATCCCGTGCTCGGTGTGTGTTTCGAAGTCTCCCACCCCCATGGGCTCCACAAACTACTACATATATTGTTGTTGATAATATTTCTAATAATCTGTGTTTTTTCTTGGTTAGTTTCTTCATTCCTAGTTCATTGCAACTTGTTTGTTTCAGAAACGTTGGAGTCTGGAGCATACAATTCAGTGCAGAACATTTGATATATACACATACACACACTTGGCCAAGAAAGGCAAATATTTGTTAGTTTGTTCATTTGTTGGCAGCTTCCAAGTGTCACGCCTTGTGATCTTGCATTGCTACTCTTGGCAATCTGCACCAACAACATGCAGATTTTGATCTTTCATTGATCAAAAGTTGAGTTATTGTTCAATTTTCACTTTACTTTTGATGAAACAAAAAGATATGCAACCAATCAAAGATGGTTTTTGTCTCCTCTAGTTTATCCCATTGGTTAATCTCCTTGAGTTGTTTTATACAAGAGATGTTTATATATCTTCTTGCAAAATAAGGCCACCTATGTAAGTCTTTGTGGAATATATTGTTGTTGTATATGCAAACTCTAAGTTGGTTAGCTTTTGCTATATGGATTCTATTGCTTTACAACTTTGTTGCCACATGGTCATACCTTCTAAAGATATTTGTTAGTAAATACTAAGATTAGATTTTGTTAGATAAAGAGGAAGATGAGAATAGGTCTATAGAATTTTGTGTGGAGAAAATTATGAGAAATGAGAGTTGGAATAAATGTGGGTTTTTAGTAGAGAAAAGAAGGAAACATAGTAGGGGAATGAAGTAAAAAGAATAAATAATCAAAAGAATTGATTTAACTACAATGGAGTCAAATGTAACTACAATAGATTGAGATATTTTTTTAATATTGTTGGAAATGCAACAACAACAAGCACCTTGGGATGGTTAAAAATAAATTCTTTTTATGTACAAAGAAGTAGGTGAGGTATGTATAATTTTTTTAAAATGAGAGACTACGTAATATTTATTTTTGCATGGAATTATATTAGAAATAGTAGCAAGGGTTGAAATTTGCTTGTAAAAGAAGAAAGATATTATATTAGGTTGTTTAAGGATATAAAGGTCATAGATGTAAAATAATAACCAAGTTTGGTAAATAGTAGAATTATTAATATTAAAAATAAGAAGTAATAAAGATGATTGTTAATTAAGTGATACATAAAGGTTAGAAAAGAAACCAAAAAAAATGAATGGTACGTTTTAGAATCAATAATATAGAGTAAGACACAAAAATATTGTTTTAAATGAATATTATTAGGAGGACAATTTAGAACTTCAATTATATATTAAAAAGAAATTATAATAAAAAGATTAAGAAGAATAAACAAAATTAAAAAAAACCATATTACAACAAGCAACCAAATGATTACTACTAAAAAAATTATAAATCTTATAAAAACAAGGTTTAAGATAAAAATTAATAAGATTAATAATAAGCTAATTTTTTCCTTCTATATTCTATTTGTAAAGCTTAAATATATTTTTTCAAACTTCTAGTGACTTACTACCTTATAATTATAAAATATTTATTTTAATTTTTTTATTAATATATTTTATCTTACCTAAATTATAGAAAAATTAATATAATACAAATGTACTAACAAGACTTATAGATTAAATTATAATAAGAATTTTTTTCAAAAGACTTTATTTTATTTTATTTTATTAGTATATATATTTTTAAATTTTTAAAAAAGATTTCAAAATCTATGTTTTTTAAATTTTATATCTTTTAGTAGCTAGTTCTATATGAAATAAATAAAAAATAGATATTTTTGAAAATAAACATATGTATCTTATAATCCTAATTTAGAATATTATATTTTTATTAATTCCAAGATAGTTAATGGATCATTAAAGTTATTACTAGTAGTTAATTCCAAGATGGAATGATTATCCATAATCTTTTTTATATTTTAGTATTTAAATAATTCAAAGAACACTTTATTCTTTTTTAAACTTTCTTAAACTTTCTACCGTACTTTTTTGGAATTAAAGATTTGGATGTTGAAATAATTGAAACATCTTACTAATGAAATCAAATATAAAGTGGATTTATATTTGATTTCATTAGTAAAGTTTGGTATTCTATTATAACACCATAGTAAACACAATAGTAAAGTTTAGACTAATTGGACTTTTAAACACAATAGTAAAGTTTGGTATTCTATTATAACACCATAGATATAGTGCTACAAAACTAGATCATTAATTATCTAACAAAAAAACCTTAAAGGAATACTTAATTTTTTTAATTTTTGATTTTTTATGGACAAAGTCTTGATTTTTAGAAATTTGATCAATAAAAAAATATTTATTTTAGATAAATATCTTTCATAATTTTTTTTTTACTGTTTTAGTCTAATTTGGTATCGATTTTTATATGAATTTATTAATACTATATGTATGCAAATTCTATAGATATTTTTTTAAAATTAGATGAAATTGTTAAATTTAATATTTTTTCAACTTTAACTCCTATCCAAAATTTAAATTCCATATAATAAAAAAAATTAATTTTTTAAGATTCTTTTAAATTGTGATAACTTGAAAATATTCTTTAGACAATAAAAATAATAAATAATATGTCTTTATAAACTAATGTAATTTTAAGTGGTGGCTAAAGCATCAATTTGATTTAATATAATATGAAATTTCAAAAACTGTTGAACTGATTTTGTAAAAGTCCAATTAGTCTAAACTTTTGGTAATAAATAAATAAATCTTGAAACAATTTTTATTCATTTTTAAATATATCAATAAACACTTTGCAATGGTTTTTAGTTTGTTCTCAATAAACCTACATAATTTCTTGTGTAAAAATCTTCTTTACGTGATTTCTATTTTTACAATTTTATCTTATGTTAAAATGTCTAGTTTCGAATAAGAATTTGGATTATATAGAAAAAAAAATGTTTTCTATTACATAAAAGTACAAATTAAATTCTTTTAAAGAGATTTAGTTAAAACTATAATATATTTAAAGATAATTTGGTTAAACTATGGTTATTTTGGTGAAAATATAATAGAAAAAAAAGTAAAAAACAAAAAAAAAAAAAAAAAAATGCAGAAATACATAATTTTTATTTTTAAATATAAAAGTATAATATTTCAAATTGATAGAAAATTTGGAATTCTTGACAAAATATTATATTTTTATAAAATCCATAATGATCTTTTGGACTTTTTGCTTGGTAAAAAGTAAATTTGGCTATGAACAATTAATAAAAAGTCTCAACACAAAATAAGAAAAATAGGTGGAATAGTAGAAAGAATATTTATCATTTTGAAAACATAATGATATTCATACTTCTTAAATTACCTTAAACTGTAATTGGAATGATTGCATAAAATTATTTGGAACCTATTTTGTATATACATGAAGGTTTTTTACTTCTACATTCTAAATGCTTAAAAATTATAAATTTAGAGGATTTTCATATACTTTGTTTAATCCAAATTGAGTTTTTACCTATAGGTAATAAAATAATTCTAAATGGTTAAAAATTATGCTTGATTTATTAAAATAATTTAATACAAGCATCTAAATATTGTTTATTAAAAATATTATATTCAGTGTTTGTTATATTTGAATATAAAAATGCTATTGTATATGTGATTTTATTAAAATACATAAATAAATACATTGATTATGACTTACCTATCTAACATTTTGAATATAAAAAATGCATATAGATATGTAACATGCTTGAATGTTCTTATTTATGTGTTTATGTATTATAAAATTATGTAGATTCTTTGTCTAAAATACTTATATCTAACAAAGTATTTTTCTAAAATTTAAGTATCACATATATCATCTTAAACACTTATGCAAATTAATTTTAAAGATATTAATCAAAATTTTGATAATCAAAAAGAAATTTATTCATTAATCACGTTCCTGTTATTTAGAAAATAATAATAATAATAATAATAATAATAATATTCTAATTTAAACCTTTTAAATCTTAGGATTAGATGAGAGTTGAAGTAAAATTAAAAATTAATAATATTATGATAAGTATATGACTATTTTGATGTTCCAATAAAAACATGTTTTAAATAAAATAAATCTATTCTAAAATTTATAAAATCTTTGAATAAAGATTGAAGATTTTATTAAAATAAAATTCATATTGTAATAATAAATTACATGTGATATTTAGTGCTAAAATTCATATGGAATGTATAGTAGGGAATAAAATTTTATTAAAAAAATATTTAAATTCTAATTTAAATAATAAAATTTGAACATTTAAACTTTTATATATTTTCTTACAATTCAAATTTTCTCAAAAATTAACTGCATAAATTATTCACTTACAATATACTAATAATTCTAGAAATTTCAAATTTTTATTTGTTTAAAAATGAAAAATAATATAATATTTTTTTGATTAGAATATACTTACTAAATTCAATATGTTAATATGCTAATTAAATAGCATGATATGATTTAATTTAAAATCAATCTCAGAAGACGAACTTATACTAAATCTAATTTTTAAAAATTTATATTTTATAACTAAAATATTTATACTCTGAAAAATATCTTTATATTATATATCACTAGAAATAAAATAACAACAATATGTCCAGATTTTATTTACCATACTAGTAAGAATAAATGTATATTTTTTTCTATTTGATTTTATAAATAAAATGAAAAAACTAAAATCTATCAGATAATTATAAGTATTAAATTCTAAATCAGTCCTCTTTTTAAATAATATTCATTCTAATATAAGTTAATTAATGTAGTTAATGTACAGTACTGCTTGACCTTCAATAAACATATAATTTGAGTAGATTTATATTTTTGTACATATTTATGATAACAAATATTTATTTTTAGTTACTTTTATATATTTCTTAGCATCTACATATTAATAATTTTTTCTATTTTTATGATTTATTTTTCAATAAATAATAAATATTGCTAATAAAATTTTATTTAAAAATATATTTAGTTAAAAAATATAAGCCAATATTTTTGCTAAAGAAGATTTAAAATAATTTCAAATTTAAACTTATTTTATGCTTTTTTATTTTTTTGGTTCAATGGTTACTATTATGTAATATAAAGTTTAAATAGAATTTTGACATGGTAAGATAACATGTTTTCTTCATATACAATCATAGTTCGTAATTCATCTATATATATTTAAATACTTTAAAGTTGTAATCATATTCAATTGGTAAAATAGAAGATTATGATTTCAAAAGAAAACTTTACCACAGTGGATATTGTAAGGTGCTTGAAACAAATGAAAATAGTATAATTTTTAATGTCCAAAAGAATATTGTATAGACTAACAGCTTCTACAGAAATTAAGGAAAAACTTTCATTTAATGTGTGCAATATAGATCTTCAAAAGACTGAATAAAGGAAAGAAAACAAGACAAAAAGTGCATTAATTTATAATGTTACTTTATTTTTTATTCTTTAATCTTTATTTTTATACTTACATATGTTAAAAAAATATTGTAGCATATATTAAAGTTTTAAAGGCTGTAAGTAAAATATTTCAAAATACAAAATCATTTAATCTAATGTCAAGTTTATCAAAATTATTTATTCATTAATAACATTTTAATATATATTTTTAAATTATAAGATTTAAAGTGTTAAAAGAAACTTGAAGAAAAAGAAAAAGAAAAAACCAAAACCACAACAAAACAAAAAACATTGGCACAGCAGTTACTAAATTCATGTAATAGAAAATGTATTCTTGTTGGTAATAAGATATTACCATCATTTCTTGTTTAGTCATCATCTACCATCTACTCCCTTGTAAGCCTCTATGCCTTAAGATATAAATGTGATTTATGGGGTGATAAAAAATGGAGATGGTGATGCCGCACATGGATGATGAATTGCCCAAATCAGGTTTTTATGGGTGAAAGTTCAAAGCCATCCATTTGAGGGTGGAAGTCAAATGTATATCATATGCATTTGCAATGGTAATGGTATGCATAAATCTGCCAAAATGCATACTCACTCAGCTTTAGAAGTAATTTGCCAAAATATCCTAAAGAATAATTTGATCTATAAGTATGAAATTCAATCACCTTCAACTTTGTTGTTTGTCATGGTCTTTTGTAATAATAATTACAAGTAATGAGGCGCTCAGCCTATAGTGTTCCAACTGATGAAGACATCTACAATATCCATATTTCAAATGGCTTTGTCCCTAGTTCCTTAATGTCAATAATTAGGTATTTGGAGGCATCATTTAGCACAAACATATTAATAATTGCATCATTAGATTTTTTTACTCCAAGAATTATTACATTAAGCCTAAGAGTCGCAATTGGAGCAAGAGCCACAAAAGCATTGATAGAATTGATTGAAAAGAGATGTGGCAAAATTTGCATGGCCCATGGTGTGGGCCTTAGATGATGACTAAATAAGGAATGTTGGTAATACCTTACCACCAACAATGGTAAACTTGACATTATCACAAATCTGAGAGACACATTTGCTATTATTAAGAATATATGAATATTCTTAATATTTCAACATATTTGAGGAATATATATGATATTTTTCTTTTTATATTTATTATTGATACGTGTTAAAGTTTTTTGAAATGTTAAAACTAAGTTAATATACTACATTCATAAATTGATATGTATGCACATTATCAAGATTATGTATATACATATCAAATTAATATAATATCTTATTATGTGTTTAAATTATGCGTACACATATTAATTTAAAAAAAAGATTATGTTGAAATTGTGTGGTACACTATAACATAATGTGACCAAAATTTGATAAATTTAATAAAATAATAAAAAAAAAACTTGGTCAATGTATCAATTCCCTATATATATAATTTTTTGATGATGTAATATGACCCTCACTATTACATGTAAATTCATGTATATATATATAATTTTGTTCTTTAATATATGCAAATGCATGTAAATATATAATTTTGTTCTTTAATATGGAATGTGACCCTTCCACTATGGCACCTGTATCACAAACAATGAAAAAAACGAGGAAGAAGGAGAAGGCTCATTGCTATTGAACTCACTCACTCCCTCACTCACTCCCTCACTCACTCTTCACTCACTCACTCGCATCACGCGTGAGGCGACGCGACGCGACTCTCGCCACACCCCCTGTGACTGAGTGACTGAGTGACGCGCCGCGTCCATGCGAGCTCGCGAGCCACGCGCGCACCTCGCGAGCTCTAGCATCCGCATCCCCGTTGGAGCACCAGCACGAGCAGTGCCGGAGCCAGTGTGGACTGAATCCCACGTTCGCATTCCTCAGCCCTGGCGCCCTATGTTTCACATGTCGAAGGAAGCCTTGCTTCTCCTTTTCTGGAACCAGCAGCAGCAGCGTTTGTTTTTTCATATCCCGTGCACCTCGGATTCTAGGTCATTGAATGGTGAGGGAAATGCGCTTGTAACTCGCGGGAGGGAATCTAGTTGGCTCACGGTGTCGTTGGAATGTGGACTTTTCGTCGAAACTCCACCGCTCGGTAATCTTCACATTTGCCGCTGCTGCTGCTGAATGAGGCGGAGGAATGCTCAAGCATTATACTGCATGGCTAATTCTGCGCTAGGTGTGGGTGGCGACAATAGTGGGGTTAAATATGGGCTGTCGTCGGAGCCCAATCCTTGTAGCGTCATCGTTTGAACCATGTAAGAGCAGTAATTTCGCTGGGAACCGTTTCTAGTTGCGTAAAAATGCACAGAAAAGACGCACGTCCTCTCCGTTGGCAATGCTGAGTTTGGCTTTTGCAAAGAGTTTGATGCGGGATGGTCTCGGTTGCCACGTGGATTGAATTCGTCGGATTAGTTTCTGAATGGACGGACCTGATTTTGGAATAACCGAGAAGGCACTGGGCAAACTTTGTGTGTCGATACGCTCTTCACGTTTATTAGTTGGAATGGGACTGAGGGCATTGTACATTATTGTGGGATTGGGCGTATGTTGGAGCCCATGCACAGCGATTGAGGTTTTCTGAAAGTTAGACTTTAATTGTAGGCGTTTGTGATGTGGGTTGCTGGTGATAATCGGCCTTGCTCATTGCGAGCAGGACAGCTTGGGAGAATCTTCGAGTGCATTGGCCCAGTTCACTTGCGGCAGATACATTGAAGTCGAGTTTTTCATGTGAAGGGTTTTGTGTACTTGGATTGAGAATCTCGTGCTGCTGGGTTGAGGTTTTGGTTTGGTGGGCAGCTGGGTAGCGTCGCCATGGTGGCAACGAGAGTCATGGAAGTGCTAACTTCCACCCCGAGTGCTCATTCTGGAATGACACAGAAGAATGTGGTGGTGGGTTGTAGAACGCCTGATGTGAGACAGGCCGACAGCGCTGTATATAAATTGCGGGGTGAGTTTCGGGAGCAGCAAAGCCAGCTATTTATCGGGAATAACTATAGGGTTAGGGTTCGTCGAAGCCTACTGCAGCGCTCTGGGCTGGATGTTCGTGCGATAGACGCTGCTCAGCCATTCGATTACGAATCCGTGAGATTGCAGGAGCTGCAGAACAAGAATAAGCTAAAAGTTGGAATTGTTGGCTTCGGGAATTTCGGCCAGTTTCTGGCAGCGAGGATAGTAAAACAAGGGCACCGTGTTTTGGCGTACTCTAGGACGGACTACAGTGAAAAGGCACAAGAATTAGGTGTAGCGTATTTCAGGTCAGTTGTGTGGCTACTCATCAGTCGATTGTTCTACAGTCGATTGTGTGGTGTACTCTTCGTTACATTTATACAACTCAACGTTCCGCAATATGGTTGTAAACTTAAAAACTTTCGGAAACCTTTCATTCACTCAGTTAGGCTTTTAGGTTTATGAATTTAATGCTCACGACGGTGGCTCTTATTCAAGCTCCTCTTCCCCTTTCTGATTATAACTGGACACCTCTGGAAATCATTAGATTCTTAATTTAAGATCTTTTATTCGAGGTCTTCAAAGTAGCTTCAAGTCGTGTGTAACTTTTCGTGTTAATTGACTTACACGGGAAGTTCAGGGTTAGAGGCATTTCACGACATCGTGTGTAGAAGTGATAACAATGAGTTTTACCGTTGGAAGCTTACAATTGCAGTTAGTTGGAGAGTAGAGGACTTGACATTTGCTGGTTTTGAATTCTCAGGGATGCGGATGATTTTTGCGAGGAGCATCCCGAGGTGGTTCTACTGTGCACCTCCATATTATCAACTGAGGCTGTTTTGCAGAGTCTTCCTACGCAACGGCTCAAGCGCCACACTTTATTTGTTGACGTACTCTCAGTGAAGGAATTTCCAAAGAACCTTTTCCTTCAGGTATCAAGCCTTTTCTAATAGAATCTATGACCAGCTGTGGAAAAAATGATTGAGGTCCTGCGCGTCGTTGTTTTGTTTCGTCTCTAATTACGTCGTAACTCCTGTTAATTTTCATGGTGGAGGACATCAAATAGATTCTGTTGACTAATTCTGAAAACATGCCAATTATTCCGATCTTATGTCTAAGGAATCCAATGGACGCGTGTTTCAATAACAGGTGTTGCCTCCTGAATTCGACATTCTCTGCACTCATCCCATGTTTGGTCCCGAGAGTGGCAAAGGTAGCTGGAATGAATTACCTTTTGTTTATGACAAGGTTCGCGTCCGCAAAGGCCGACGGTCCAGGGCCGCTGACATATTCCTGGACATCTTTGCGAAAGAGGTAAACTACAGCTTCATTAACATATGAAAATCTGTTGTTTCGAGTTCGAATGCTGCCTACAAATATGGTCAAGAGTGCAGTCTTGTCTTTGCCACATCTTCTTGTCACAATTTATACATGATCTCTCTTGAGTTTCCCTCGGAGCGTTAATGTAAGCCTCTAATGATTGTTGTGTCTGATTCTTACCTGCCAAGTTCTCTTTCAGGGTTGTCGCATGGTGGAGATGACATGTGCTGAGCACGACCGATATGCGGCGGGCAGCCAATTTATCACTCATACTGTGGGAAGGTTAGTGTTGTTAGCCTCCTTTGTTTCATGTTTCAAGTGTATTTGTTTCTTTTCTGCGGAAGGATGAGCCTTTGAATGCTTTTGTTTTATTTTATTTGATTGTTTACTTGTTTTTGTTTTGTATGATTTTGTCGCATTTTCTGTAATTTTATGCCAACTTGTCGCCATCTTGTCCCTCTTACTCTACAGGAAAAGACTCTTGAAGGCTGAAATTTGTAGCATATTACGTGCAGGGTATTAGGAAAGCTTGCGTTGCAGTCGACGCCAATCAACACTAAGGGTTATGAGACACTGCTTGGACTCGTAAGGCATCACGTTACATGTTATGAAATCGCCATTTGAGTTTGATCGTTCATTGAAGACCTTGTTACCAGCAACTAAATTTTTGTTGCAATGATCTTAAGAACTTACGAGAGCATGTTTTTAACAGTATTTCTAATGTATTGTTTTCGAAAGCACCTTTGACTAGGATACTGGTTTATGATTATTCACAACTGCAAATTGTACCTGAATTTTTAACCGGGTCGTGAATAGGTTGAAAATACAGCGGGTGATAGCTTTGAGCTTTACTATGGGCTGTTCATGTACAATCCTAATGCCACTGAAGAGGTAAGAAAGGTTTATCTTCGCCCTGCTTGATTCTCTTGGAGCAGTTGGCAAATTACAAATTCTACAGAAACTACCTGTCGATTTTGCAACAAGCTCGATGTTTCAAATTTGATAATATGTAAACTTTACTTTTATGTACATGTTTTTTTTAGAAAGAGATTCAAAGCATGTCGATACTTAGTAACGAGTTTAATCCAACGTAGCCCTGTTTTCACAGCTGGACCGGCTAGAACTGGCTTTTGACTCTACAAAGCGGCAGCTCTTCGGACAACTTCACGACGTTTTGCGAAAGCAGCTATTTCCTGGAGATGGCGCAGAGAAAGCTAGTTCCTCTCAAGGCTCTTTAGACACATCATCAAAGAATGGAAGCTCCACAAATGGTGGAACTAGAATCGTAAGCAACGTTGACACTGCACCCCCTGTTTTTGAGTCAGTTTTGATCAAGTCCGTTGAATTGGAGAAAGATCCAGACTCAATTTCTTCGAAGAGCCCGAAGCATTGATGTTTCCGATTACATCACCTTCGAAGTCTGTATTATAGAGCACTTCATCGATCAACTGTTTCACAATTCACTGCAACTTAGAGTTTTGTATTTTGAGGCTTGAACAAAATTGAAATTGAGATGGAAGGCTACCTGGTGAATGCTTTTCCTCAAACCTTTACAGTTATCAAGCTGAGCCCTCGGTGTAACCCACTTTATAACACATGATACTCGTATCTGAAAACATTTGAATATGTTGTTGGATCAAGCTGCTGTATAGAATAGTTCTTCATCCTACCAGCTTCTGAATAAATATCTAAGATTTAGTAAATCCTTGGTACAAAACCATCAAATTTACTAATTGACAAAATGCTAATCTTGGTTCTAGAGGCTGCATTCACGTAGTCTCTATATAGATGAAATAGTGTTTTATATCAGGTAGCTCCAAATGCTTATCCTGACAAACAACTATTTATACACGACTAAATGACAGCCCTTCTCATTCTATTATGTTTCATGATTGAACACGGAATTTTACTCAATGTGCTAATTAATTTCAGTTCATTTGTAAGTGTGGTTGATTCTTCGTAATTATAATTGTATTTTGTTTGTCTACAAACTATCAACCTCACATTCAACACCCATATTACCATTTTATTTGTGGGATCGTTATTGGTGTCTCTTGGAATGAAGTACCAACATCTGATGCAAAATATGATAAGAAAGTCAATTATTTCTCTAAGAAAGAGCATGTCAATTACAGTCTATTAGCAGACGATAAACTGAATTGCATGAATGAGATATAGTTTTATGTACGAAAATGACATGGAGATTCCCTTGAGTTTCTTGTACGTAAACATAGTACAGTTTTCATTAAATTTGTAATTAGCAATAAAATAACAATGAAACGAAATAAAATGAAGAACAATAGGTCCAGTTCCAGAATTTATGAGCATCAATCAATTGTTGTCAGTACTAAGAGACCTGCTTAAGTCGAGCATTTCAATTCTCTAGTGGCGATGACATTGATGTTGATTGTAATACACAACATATTCATGGTCCAACGACGCATGTTTCGAGTTGCAACAAGCAACAGTCACTGTATTGAGTTGATAATAAACCGTGGGGAATAATTATCTGCGGAATGTGCTACACTGGGGGCTACAAACATTGTGAGCCTTCAGTGTAAAATATGACCTAGATTTAGTCTAGGTGAACCGTTGCTGTCTCGTTCCAGGTGCTTAGTCACACTGAATTTATGACGTCGAGTGTCACAACAGAGTGAGTGTTTCATAACGAGGACCATGGGGTTCAATTGCTTCCAGAAACTGAAGCTCGGAAGCAAGAAACCAATTCCCAGGAATAAATGCTCTAATACCTCGACTGCTCTACCAGCTTCTACCGGAGCAAACGAATGTTCCTTACCAAATGACACTAGAAATACAGAAGTTAAGGTTTACTTCGAGCGGGTAATTACTTGATGAGCTATATCTATCAATGCACGACGACATTGTTGCACGTGTAATGAAGGATTTGGGGGAAGGTTGGCAATTGCATCTACAGCCTTTCGCGCATGCTCTGCAGCTAGCGCGTGGGTCTGGGCTATGCCGCGGCTTTCCTTCACCATTTCAACAGCCTGCAAAATTCAGTGTGTTTCAGAGTGAGGATGCGAATGCATTCCCAATCAACTCCTTAATAAGAAGTTTGGAAGCATTGGTAAGGTCGATAACTGATAACATCAAAAGATTCAATCGAAGTGCGCAACAGTAAAGAAGGAAACACGAATACCTGGTTTATATCTGTGACTGTTTTGAACTTGCGCTGGATCAATTTGGACATCTCTGGAAATTCCTTGAGCGCAAATAATACAGGCGCTGTCACAATGCCCTGCTCAAAACACGGGACATACCGCAAAAAAATCACTCAGTTAGGAATCCTGCCTAGAAATAAATCCATTCCACCACATGACACTAAAAGTAAAATTCTACTAGACAAGAAACAACATTCAGAGCATTACGAACGCCAAAAATTTCAATTTAGACATCTTCTGCACTGCGCACCTGAACCACATTGCCTTCACTTTAGGATTAAAAAACATTGATATGAATATCGTATCCTACCAGCCTAAAAATTGACGTTTGAATCCGAGTAATTCACCTGCCCAAGATCAGACAATGCAGGCTTCCCCAAAGTTTTCGTAGTGCCTGTGTAGTCGAGAGCATCATCCACTAGTTGATATGCCAAACCCTGCAAATAGTCATACAGTTATATGGAAAATGAATATTTATGGGCAATCATTGCAAAGTAATACCAAATCATTGCAACATTGTTTTCATTGCATTATTTACTGGACATCGTTTCTATTACCAACTTTAAATCCACGTGAGGGAGAGGTGATTGCATACCAAGTGACGCCCATAGTTGAAAGCAAGAAGGGCGACGTCTTCAGGTTGGCCGGCTAGTACAGCAATAGCTTTACAGCTATTTGCCATAAGAGAGGCAGTCTTGTAAAAAGTCTTTTGCATATAGTAATCCATGCTGAGAACCCAAAATTGCCATATGTGAGCTCATAAATTAATTATTCACCAGAAATGGGATCTTGATTGCACTACCAAAACTAATGCCAACAGAAATGAGGTTTCTAACCTGAAAGAAATGACATAAGACTCACTTTGACATGTCCTTGTCTTCAACAGACAACTGCATTATCTCGCCTGTCACTAAGTGCTCCAAAACCTGGGATAGAAGCTCCACGACCTCTGTATTTCTCAATGATGCTAATGCTACTGATGCCCGGGCCAGTAAAAAGTCACCTGCTAAAACTGCCAACTACAAAACCAAAGCCAATGGGGAACGTTGTGTAAAGTTGAGTCCAAGAAATATCGGAAGAACTTCTCAAACAATCAAGATACGAAACATACAAAGCATTGATAAACTGGCGTACTAGACGCAGCACAATACTTTAACACATGTGGCACGTTAAAAAGACTTGATTAACAGTGATAATTTCCTCTACACACTGTTATAAGTAAAGAAAACGAGAATCAGCACAAACCTTGTTACCCATCACATGATTCAGAGAACTTATGCCCCTCCGGGTATCTGCATGGTCCAACACATCATCATGCAGCAAACTTGCCACCTGCGTATCATTGAACAACCTCGTGAGAAAAGTCTACCGATACCTACATATTTGGCCAAACTTATCGATATCCAAACCTATCTTCTAAATTACATCTTCGGACGAAACTCTGTATGGTGCCCAAAATAGAAGTACGTATAAACATGGGATACATACATGGAATAGTACTAGATCATAACTGCATAACTTACGTGAATCATCTCTGTAATCTCGGCAATTCGTTGTTGTCGTAATCGTAGGTCATCGAAGATCAAGTCTTGCAGTCCATGCGAAGGTGACGTCATTAAAGACGTCGACATAAGAAGTAGAACCTACATTATTTTGCCATTCATATATTTAAAATTCCACAAATAACACGACTTTAGTATTTCGACGAAGGCAAACGACATAACCGAAGGGCTTCATTAATGCTGACCACGAAATCATTACACAGCAATTATCGGATAGCGAAACCATTGCAAATCCGTCCCTTGTTGGCAGAACTACGAATGTCCATACACTTCATCAACATCCCTCGATGCAACGAAGATAGAAAATGCTGAGAAATTCGACCTAATTCAAATTAAAACAGATTCACATGCAAAACTACTCGATCTACCCAGGAAAACTCGAACTTTCCTAAATGTACTCAGTGCAGTCCTGAATCACTCCGTAGCTATCAACAAACAACAATCAAATACCTCTTGCACAACAAAACATAGCTCAGTTGCACAAAAGAGTAGGTACCATGGGCCGAAACCGTTTGCCTTCGACCCCCAACTTGAAGAAATATTCAGCTGCCATTGCCAGTACTGGGACCTGTGTCGACTACGTTGCGATTAGATACTTGAATTAACAGCTCAAATAAATATGGCGACAAAAAAATACAATACCACATCTTCAATCATCTATACATGAATTATTTATATTATTTTTCATACTTGTGTGTGTGAAAGTGGGAGTGTGTGAGTGTGTGTGAGGGAGGGAGATGGAGACGGAGACGGAGAGGGGAAGGGGGAGGAAGAAACGTACAAGTGAACTGCAAAATTGGACTAAGCAAAAAAACAAAAAAAGTTAAGCAAGGATAAGTGAGAGTCCGACAACTAAAGGAAAATAAAAACAAAAATGGCCATTACCTCTGCAGTCACCATTGATCGTAGCCGATTGGCAACAACCTGCAACTCATCCGCAACCAACGAGAATGGGTCCACCTTTTCCTGCGCCGACATAAATCCTCTCTGATTACAATAAAGAAACAAAACCGACAGTTACAATGCCAGAAAGAAATGCCTTTAATCTAAAAAGCTTTGTATAGCATTGATGTATGTGAAATGAAATTTAAGGTCCTTCGTGCAACTAGACAATATAACGGCACAAAATGGAACAACTGGAGGATAGTACGAGTATACAAATTAAGCAGGAAATTCGTGAAACCAGCAGAGAGTTGAAAGTACCAAAGCCATGGTACCTAGTTAATAAAAAAATACACAAAAAACTAGATGATGTATATTCGTCTAGTCTACATGCTAGTGTCACTATCATCATAAACGAAGTAATTACTGGAAATCAAGGCAAAATTGCGCTGCTGCCAACCTGACTGTTACTGTTCAGGTGCTCCAACCCTAGAACAGCACCAAACTGTCTGGAGGAGGAGGTCGGTTGCCATGCCGACACTGAAGGGGATTCCACGAATGCGTCTTGGCATAACGATGTATTCCACGGAGCATACTTCAAAAGGGGGGAAACTTGGCGAACCTGCAGAATCCACTGAGAATTCATCAGAAAGTCCTCGAAGTCACAACTGCACCGATTGGATCAGAACGAAAATTCAACGAAGACTATCTACACCTGCACAACTTCTGTAACGGGAGAAGGTTTTTCCTGTTTTTATAATGTGTGAAGTTAATAACTTGTATCAACTCAAGGAATCTGTTCACTAGAGACCTACTCCGCCAGAACGCCCACCGCTTTATATTATTGGGTACTCAAATCATCAATAACCCTGCTCAAAATATTACTGTAGACTAGATACTTGCAATGGTACACTGCATTATTTTTCTATGTTGGATTCGATTTGGATAGCTGTATCATGTTATTATGATCAAGCTAGAAAAAATCCCTCCAGTGAGCTCGATGATACAAAATTCAGCGTGGCAGTCGAAAATGAGTCCTATGACGACTTGAGCCCGTCCATGTGTAAAAGCCTGGGTTCCACTAAGTACCTCATACGTACTGTCAAATCCTTGGGAAGGAATTCTACAATTTGAAATGTCTAAACCGCACAGGGGGAGGAAATGAACACAAACCCTAACGACCTCTTTCGCCCAGGAAAAAACCACCGAGAGATTTAGTACCATTCTCCATACAAACGATGGCAGTATTTCCAATTTTACAAAACTAGGTTCGAAAACTCGAAACAACAACCTTTAGATGTCGGACCAGGTAGCGCCCGCCCCTTGCAGCCTGCATCATTCAATTGCTCCGAGCACCGTCAAAACCCCCGCTCGTCACCGAACCTCTCCCGTGAGCACCAAAACCTCTTTCCTAGCTCCCAGATCCCAGCTCCAACCAACTCAAACGAAAGAGGAACCAAAAAATATAAAGCAACAGTCGCAGGCTGCGGTGAAGAATTCCTCTACTCCAAACAACCGCAACTCAGCTCACGCTCTAATTTCGAAACCCACGAACATGACCATATCCGGCACCGAATGAGACGCAATTCGACTCCGAGAGATCGAGAGAAAAAATAAAATAAAATAAAATAAACCTAGAGTGGCATATGAAAGCGCTTTCTGCAGTGTGCAAGACGGCGCCAGATCCGTGGCGAGCACGCGCAGAATCTCGGCGAAAAAACTGTCACAAGTACTGCTGGTTGTAAAATTGACGAGGCAAATACAAACAAGGGTCTCGCAGAAACAGCAGCAGCGGCATCAACCCTGCTTTCATTGCTTGCTTGCTTGACCAGTGCCGCCCTCGTGGCATTTTAGGGCTTCGTCACGCGATCCCACAGTGCCGCCAACGTGACGGACGGGAACGTCGCGTTCTCAATGTGGGAACTCTTTTGGGAGGGTTCCTCGGTTGAGAGAGCGAGTGATTTTTTGATATTTGCTTGACCTTATCATAAAACAATGTTATATGAATTATGTTTTAAGCATGGCGAGTTAAACTGTAGAAATTTTCCTAGTCATACTTACAATGTAATCTTGCAAGTAAAAAGATTGTTATTATTGTTCTTAGTTATTTATAGTAGTAATTACATCAACTTTACAATGCAAATACAATTTGGTTTTCAAATTTTTATTTATTTATTTATTTATTTTTTATGTTGCAAGTTCAGAATTTTCTATTGCAAATATATTTTTTATTTTTCATTATTTAATTTATTAATTCATCTTTCTAAGCATGTAAAAATAATATATTTATATTTGCGCACACACACAAACACACACACACACACATATATATATATATATATATATTCAATTTTTTTTATAGATTTACATTCATGTGTGTATATGACTGTATGTGTGTGTATATATATATATATATATATGTGTGTGTGTGAGTGTGTGTATGTATGTATATATATATATATTCATATCTACATACATATATGTATTTTTTTCACTTGTATCACATTCTTAAGACCAACAAACAATCATACGGTTACATGTAAGGTGAATTGTCTTAATTATAACTTTTTCAAGAACTAATTATTTGTCCATATATATATATATATATATAATCATGTGCGTTATAAAATATTTATTGGATATTCTATCATTTAATTATATTCAATACATAGTGTAATAATGTTCCATACCAAAATTAAAGGACGGTCTGCTGACCCTAAACGTAAAAATGATTTTTTTTCCCCTCCTTTGCATTAGGTTGTAGGTTGTATGTCATTGATAGTTGGTACCTAGATGACCATTTAGTACACTTGCAAACTTTATGACTTTGTAACCAATTTATTTAATCATTGATCACATAATGTCAAAGACAATGACAAGTTAATATGAACAAGATTGCAAATACTTTTTAAGAACCAAAATCATTTGATGCAACACAAAGCAACTATATAAACTTTACTACAATATATATATATATATATATATATATATATATCAAATTCAAAATACTAAATCTTATGCCAAATTCAAATCCCTTCCATCGTGTACTAAAAGTCAGTACCTCTTGGACCCCACATGTTCAAATCACCAAAACATGGTAAAAATCACTCTTGAAAACTGCAATTCGCACAAAGTGATAAGATAAATAAAGCTGGCGATTTGATTTCTGAATATGAAATCTTCTAGCCTAATGAAAACCATCACATGGGTATATTTCCACTCTTCCAAAAACGAAGAAGAAAAGCAAAAAAGGGTTAAGTTACTGCCTCTTGTGTGAAGCAGCGCATCACAAAAAACCTTGGTAACATGGCTTACAACAAGAATCTTCACCAAGGAAAAATCAGAAGCAACTACGAAACTGGGCAATCTAACCCACTATTCTCAGCACCCAGTGTAAGTCATTAACACTTTCCAGCTCCTTTGCAGCATGGGAAAAAAAAAAAACATGTGTGACAGGAAGAAGCCTAGAAGTAAATCAGATAGGCAGGCAAACAAACAAACACTGAGACGGACGCACAGACAGATAGACAGACAGTCGGACAGACTGTGTGAGTGAGTGTGTGTGTTATTGTGAGTTGTTCCCAAGTTCACACTAGCGAGGTGAATCACACCACCCTGCTGCCATAGCATGGCAAGACGTGGGCAAAATAGCTGCACAACAGTTGATATCCGGAAGGAGTTCATACTGGAACAGGGAGAAGCAACGATGCCCCGGCGCATAAACCGTGAACTACGCACACACTTGAGTTGGGGCTAGTGCAGATGAATGCAAATGTAACTGAACTGGCTCACTGCTGGAATCCAAGCCACTCAAGCTGAGAGAGATGGAGCTCGGTGGATCAGTTGCACACTCACTCACCCACTCCATGAGAGGGATTTGTACACGCATGAGTGTGTCTGTCTCAGTGAGGGCAGATCGCAACCGCTCTCGAGTGGGCAAGCAGAGCCTCCGGCACTGGGGTGGCAATCCCGAGTACACAATGGTAGTTACTTATTCAGTCAATTGGACTTTTTGGGCTGATCATGTGGGCCATATACTAGCATCTGATATTAATGATGCGGGTGAGTACAAACCTAACTGGCTTGAGAGGCCCCCCGGCTTGCTCACAGCCAGCTAGCAATCTGCTTGCAAACAATCCCACCTCCTCCCCTGGGCCTGCTATATTTGTCCGCCTTCAGTCCCCTTGTTCTACTCGTCAAGCTGACTGATCGCTTTATTTCAGGTGGAGGAGGAAAGAGAAGTCGTGAACAGTCTGCGACACTCTCAGTGGTGGACTTCGAGAGCTCAGTTGCTAGTAGCACCATGACGGCAGCTCCAGCGATGACTGTCGCACTTCTTCTTGTGGCTCTGCTGAGTTGCGCGTTGCCCTCGGAGGCAGGCAGAGCTTTGCTGACCCTCGGTTCTCAGAAGAACTTGAAGAGTTTATTGCCTGGGTGCTCACCGCCGCCAGCTCCAGTGGACACTCCCTCATATTCTCCTCCGACTTACACTCCGGAGTCTCCTCCCTACACTCCTTCGTATTCTCCGAGCCCTGTTTACGAGTCACCTCCTGTGGATCAATCTCCATCTTACTCTCCCGGCTCTCCCTCGTACTCTCCTCCATCGACGGGCTATCAGACACCACCCACATACTCTCCACCGCTGTATTTATCTCCTCCCACGTACTCACCATCGCCGGTGTATTCATCTCCGCCTCCTTACTCGCCGTCTCCAGTATACTCTTCCCCCTCTCCAGTTTATAAGTCGCCCCCCGTTTACCAATCCCCTCCTGCTGGTGGCTACTAGGAAGCAAATCGATGGAGCTGCCTCCAGTTCGCATGCGAGAATACTAGTACGCGATCCTTGCAGTGGACTTTGAAGACAAGTTCAGTGTTGAATTCTTCAGAATGGTTGCAATTGAAACCGTTGTGTGAGGTGATAATTCTGATTGTTTAGTTGGTCGTTTAGTTAACGCAAGTCGGTTATTCATTTTGTAATGCAATTCGCACGTTGTGCCTGCCTCAGTGAGCGACATTCGAGACCTTGAAGCTGTCGCACTTCGAGTGTGATCAGCTGTGCGGTTGTTCTTCTTTTGAAGAAGCTAGGCATCACAACATTGTGTTGGAGACTGTTGTGGGCCCAACGACAGGCTAGTATCATTGTCAATAAAACACTGTGTACAAGCTTGATTAATTGAATTTAATCTGGAAACTTTTTGTCAAAGCTTCTGCTGTGTATACTCACGGACGTGACAAACTCATCGCAGAAAACCGATTGACGTGTGATCAGTATGATGGTTGATGAATTTTTGGGTGGCAATAAAGTACTTGTACTTGTTGAAATTCAAGTTCTTTACTTCTTGCTCTTCTCTGCCTCAGAAATGGTGTATGCAATGATCGAAAACGTTGAGATGAAGAAAATTTATCTACAAACACTGTCCCAGTAAACAGATTGCTGTTGGCCTGTGCAAATGCAATCTCTAGCAACTTTATCTGCAAATATTATGTGAATGTGATAAATTTCTCTCAGCGAATATATGTAAACAAACTCACGACCACAGCGGTTTTGCTCAACATAATTTACTAGCACAACTATTCATCTAATTGCCACAAAACGCGATGGTCGAGTAAAACTTTGTGTAACCTTGTAATATCAGTAACATAAGGTGAGGCTTTGACAACAGCCCTCGTGACTTTGCGGGTTTGAGAAGGGTCCATCTGAACGCCACACAAAGCCACCACTCTGAGAAGAAATTTGGCGGAAGGAGGGCATTCTGAAAACGACGACGGTTCCTGCAGAAAGCACGACGTAGGGAACACTGTCAGCCTATTGTCCCACGCGTCTACCGCAAGAGATTCCAAGCAGAAAGACGGGTCGCTTTGGTTTTATGAGGAATAACTTATGGGTCTTCTGGTGACAAGAATTGCATCCTTCCGAACCAAATTTATTCACATATTGAACGACTTCAAACATCCATGTATAACTAAAAGTATTATTGTAGAATATTTAGTGTAGTTTGGTCACTGAGATCTATCAATGCAATGAGCAACTTACTCCTCCTTGACCAAACCAACCACTGAATATTTACACCCCAAGATTCCTGACATTGCCTCACCTGATAGTAGACAAAGATATTCAATGCGGCCACCGGAAGCACCCCAACCTGTCCACATCATATATATATATATATATATATATATATATATGTTCTTTCAAAAAATTTAAACTCCATAAACTTGATGGCATGAAAGAGTATCTGGAGAGTGAACATGACACACACAAGAGTTGCGATCATGAAGTCCATAAGATCCGGTAGTGGACTATGCACAAACAACCCTAATCCTAATTAACAGCCTTTGTCTTCTACTTCGCCCGTGATGAAAGGAGCTTGCAGTGCCAAAAGAGTTGGCGGAATCAATCAATTAGTGGCTGACCAAACTCCTCTGTCTTGGAAACCATGACAGAGATTTGTCACGCTTTTATTACCTCATGCCCCTCAACGTGGCTCACTGCCACAAAGAGTCGGAAGCTCGCCTGGGGCAAACTGCTGGTCAATTCAACACTGCATGAAATCTGAGAGACTCGTCACCATGTGGGGGTGATCACTAGCTTCCGAGAGAATCCGAAATTTACAGGGCCCTCAACCTCAATATTCTATTTACCGCAATTAATGACACCACTGTGGAAACCGGCTAACTTCAAGGAGGGTTGATCAAACGGGTACCTCGCCGTGCTACATATGCGTTTGCAACCAACCTGAGCAGTACTTGCGCACTGCTCCATCACAGAGACTTTCAAAGCGATCTGTGCCTTTGAATCAGCTCGTCATGAGGTCTGCTCAAGCGACGGTTGCAGTGCTGCTACTCATTGCAACTGTTCTGGGCTGCACAATGCCTCGCTCGGACGCGGCGAGGGTGATGGGATACGAGAAGAATCTGAAGAGCTTGTTGCCAGGGTGCTCTCCTCCTCCAGCACCCGTGGATACGCCTTACACGCCGTCCACTCCGACAACATCGACTCCTGTCTACACTCCGACGACTCCCGCCACTCCGTCTGATTCGTCCCCCGTGTACACCCCGCCCACAGTGTCGTATCCTCCGCCTGCAGGCGGATACTAGCAACTGATCAGAGCTTGTTGTTTCCCAAGATTGGAGTTATGAGGTGCAAGCTTTTGGATTCTCGGACTGAGCTCAAGATGCTGTCGATGAGCTCCTCGTCGGCTCAGTCTAGGTGTTTTGTGAGTTGCTTGCGACTCGGTTCATGTTGCTTATGGTCGCAATTGTCGATGTAGTTCTACTTGTGCATCGACCTTTTTTTTAATAGAATATTTTTGCATTCATCTGCTGCTTGTTCCGTTTGTGCGACTGACATGCTTCTGGTGTGACGCAAACACATTCTTGCTTTTTCAAGTCTTACGTCAATCAGTTACGCACCGATCGTTCCGGTGGACGTAGATCTTCTGTGGAGTTAGCCGCTCTTGCTTACATTCCTACATCGGAAATGCATCAACTTCTTTTTGCATGACAAAATCTTGCAAGTTGTCCGTTTAAACACCCAAAAAATGTGACCGACACGTAAAGCCAACCAAAGCACCTCTGCTCAAACCAGTAAACAAAAAAAAATCCCCTGCACACCAAACCTCTTGAACTTGACCACAATCCGGACTCGATTACCGAGATATGCAAGGCGTCATGTAGAAATCTGAACCATTTGGCTGTGTGCGAAGGAGGAAGTCGTTCGGTGAAGACATAGGAGCAAATGATCATGGAGCATTAAAATGTATAATTGGATTGGTCTCTTGGTAGATAATAAACCGATGTGGGTTATGTTTACCAGCATGCGTCTTTGCCAATCTTCATGCTAAAGTACGATCATGTGCACAAGCTACATCTACAGCTTCAGGGTTTCAACGATGCAGCTAACGTTTCTGTTGTGTGAGTTGCCGCTGTCGCTTCGAAGGTTCTACTAAATCACAGGGATGTCTGATTCTGCTTATAAGGATAAGCGTTGTTCATCAGACTTGTCTTAAAAAAAACTGATTATTGGTTTGCTGCGTAGGACTTCCTAATCTAGAGTCAACTGATGTTTCATTACAAAGGGAGATTAATTTCATCTGTATTTTTGAAAACAATGATTAAATCATCGTGTTATTTTTCAATTAAAACGCCTTTTTCTTTTGGATCAGAGATAAAAATAGAAAAGGGGAGCTAGGATTGGCTGGTATAAGAGGTGCATTACTAACTGGGTTGGGACTTGTAGCAAAAATCTGAGTGGAAACTTGAAGTTGAGGTTGAGCCATCAGTGACATTGTGCGTTGATTGTGGAACATAGAAAGATGAAAATAACATGGAAAACACTGTAGAGACGAGACCATGTTATCATGTGCACAACTGCTTATCAATTTCACTGGCACTGGAATGATGCAAATGTGGATGCTTTATTGTTTGAGGAAAGGAGTAGTAAATGACTTCCACTGAATCATGTGGAAAATCATATCTCGAGGCTACACCTAAATGAAAGTAGATTTTTGTGTAATGGCAACTAAATGCGATAAGAGTCAAAGAAAATTTATCTTGTGATCGAGCCATCCAAATGCCACACTCCCTCTATCCTCAATCTCAACCCATCTCATGATTACTAATGTTACAAGAGTCAAAGGCTGATAATCACAACACAGCCAACAAGCATCAGTGCTGAAACACATAATTTCCACATGATACAATGGAAGTAATCTACATATAACTATAAACAGACGCTATTCTTATTAGTTTAAAACTACTATTCTAACGTGTTCACGCCGTGAACGAAGCTCTTCGTCCTCGCATGCAAGTTACGCATCATCCTGCCTGTGTATGATTGTGATTTTTGGCACATTTTAACTACAGCTTTTTAGAATCAACACTGCCAAGCCTAAATTGAAAACTCACGGAATACATTGCATTGTAACGAATTCGAGGTGATTTGTGGTAGAATGCTAGAGGGAGTATTGAAACAGCTGCGGATTTTGAAGCCGATGTGTAGCAGTCAATTGAAATGCATCTGCAGGGGACTCATTTCATAACTGGAGACGTGGTTATTAGTGTTCGTGATCAGAACTGGAAGCTTAAGAATAAGTTCAAGATGAGACACTGCAGGCAAGGTAAGTGTGGTCCATGCAGCTGTTGACTGATCGCCGGACTTACCGTTAGAGTGAAGCTTGATCAGCAAAGTTGGCGAGCAGAACGAAAGAGTGAGTCTAGTTACGAACCAGCAGATCTGACAACTCACCTGCTGCTAAAAATTCTTGCGACTGATAGCTGCCATGAGACCAAAAGTTGCTAGCGAGGATCACCCTTCCAATGGCATTCAGGAGATGTTCAACCCTTGCAGCGAGTGACTTTGCTTGTGTAGATGAAGCTACAAGTGTTTTCACGCGAGTGCTGCCCACCAGCACTAAAGAAAATTACGAAGCTCACAAGGAATTCGACACTGATTCATCAGAAACTTGGAGCACTTCATCACTTGGGTAATACGGTATAAGAATTCAGTTGAGGGTTGTAGGAATCCGACAATTGATTGTGTGGGTCACAAATTGAGATCTCAGTAAGTAAGCCTCGTATTTCACGTCTACACGTTTGCTCGCGTCAAGATGCCAATCGCCGCGGCCCTTCACTCCGAGCTGAGCAGCTCAAGTAAGGGTTGCTGCATTAATCGATTGTGTCGCGGCGATGGGCACATTTGTCCAGACTATCACTTCGTCGCAGTCATTCATATACCTCTCTACATGCAATTTGAACTACAGCTTAGGCTGAAAAAATGTGCCCTGACTGCCATTGTGACATTAGTATGATTCGTATTCTATGAGTATCATCTACTAATACAAAGGAACTCTTTGCTCTCTATCTCTTCCTCTCCCCTAATCTGTTTCGATCTCAGGCACGGAAGCAAACCTTCTTATTCTCTACAAATCGTTTGCTTCGTTCGTCCGTTCGTTCAATTATCGCTCCATGGAACTGTATTAGAGATTGGGTAATCCGCTTGCCACGCCCACGACGATCGCTTTAATTCGGCGACGCTGGATCAAAGAATCTGAATGTTATTGGGAGGGAAGACGGTGTGAGGATGATCACAAGCAGGTGAGGCCGCACCGCACCAAGTTGGGGCCAGTGACTTTGGGCAAGAACGGATCGATTCTGACCCACAGAAGCGAGAAGATGGAAGCCAGCAGAATGGACCACACAATGACGATGGTTGGCGTTCGGTTCTGGCGGCCCATCAAACCCTTGAGGAAGGGGTACAAGTGCACGATCACCCAGAAAGCGAAGAAGAGCTTGCCGAACAGAGGGCCCCACGCCGAGTAGCCGTTGTTGATAGCATCTGAAATGCCCGCGACCACGCCCACCATGTTGAAGATCAACAAGGTAGTGGGAGGGATCAGGAGGGATGTCCACTTCAACGCATACAGCTCCCCGAAGTCCTCATCCTCTCCCGTCTTCGACGTGACTGTGAAGTTCGTATCGATTCCGGCAAACACTTTCAACAGACCTTGAAAGAGGGCAAACAAATGCGCGGAGACGCCTCCAATCACCCAAAACTGTTCGTTCCTCCACCACTCGTCGATGCCGACGCCCGACCACCGCATTTCCAGAATACCCGTTATGAAGATGGACATGAAGAGAGAAATGAACCACAAACTGTCGAGGTTGCTTATCTGCATAGAGAAGAAAAAGAAAAAGAAAAAAAAAAAAAAGAGACAAAAAACAAAAACGAAAACGTGTAGAGTTCACGTCTATTAGTGTACTGATCAATCAGACAAAGAGGCAACTTCTGAATACACAGCATCAGGAGAAAAAGTAATGCTTATGAAAGTGCGGGATGAAGATAACTGGGACCGAGGGTTGCAACTTACTGTTGGAATGATGAAGTTCCCGGTGAGCAAACACACGGCAGGGAGTGTGCAATAGGCGACGAGAGGCAACGAAGTCAAGGGATAAATAGTGGTGTTGATATACGCCAATCTCTCCAAGCATTTGAGTCGACCGTAGCCAAACCACAGCGGGCAATGCCTGCTGAGAGAGATTTCCACCGACCCAAGAGCCCACCGAAGCACTTGGTTCAATCGATCTGACAAGTTAATTGGCGCCGAGCCCTTGAAAGCTGCCCGGTGGGGCATGCAGTATATTGAACGCCACCCCCGACAATGCATCCTGAATCCTGTAAGAATGTCCTCCGTCACCGACCCGTATATCCACCCAATCTGCGATCGAAGGTCAGTACAAGGATAAATTAGTTCATGGGATACATTCACTGCAAGTTGGACACACGCGCAATGTTTCGTCACACCGACGTCGATGTTGGAATCACTTCATACCTCTTTTCCCCACTCAGTCTTGTCTTCGTAGCCACAACTGATGACGTGAATGGCTTCCTTGAGGAGTGAGCCCGCGCTCGCGGAATGACGAACACCGCCGTTGTCAGACATCGTGGAGGCGATGAACACCGGCGACTGCCCGAACCGCTTCTCGATGTCTTTGGTGGACAGAATCGAGGACGACTTCTCCTGGTCGTGATCCGGCATGCCGCCGTCCATACCCTCCTCGACGTCCTCCAGCCGGAAGATGGGAATGCTAGAATCAGCCCCCGAGGGTGCCTTCTTCTTCGAGTACTTCCATGGCTTCTTGCTCTTCTTACCCTTCTTGCGTCGTCCACTGCAGCAAAATGATGGGCACAAGCCGGTGCAGCACCCTTGCCCGCCTTTCTTCTTGTTCGACGGCGGCTCATATCCATACAATGCTTGCCTCCTGAACACGCACCCCGTGCCTACGTACACCGGCCCTTGAATCCCGTCCAAGCCTTTCATATTAATCTGCAACAAGAGGAATATAAAAAATATAAAAAATAAAAAAAAAAACATATATCAATTAATCTCAGCACCTCATAGCCTCCGAAAGAGTTCTCGAAGCTCAGATTCGGGAGGAGAAGGAGGTTCATACATCGAAGAAGACCGTGTTGTGGTTCGCATATCGATCGTTCCGGTCGATGCCGTCAAACCGCTGGGGGAACTGGACGTAGCAAACTTTGGGACCGACAGTGGGATCCATCATGAAGCACATGGCTTCGCGGATGGCCTTGCTGTTGTTGATGTAGTGATCGCAATCGAGATTGAGCATGTATGGCGCGTTAGTGAGTACCGCCGAGACGCGCACCAGGGCATTCATGGCACCGGCTTTCTTGTGGTGATTGAACCCCGGGCGCTTCTCCCTCGAGACGTAGACAAGGCGGGGAAGCTCGTTGCCGTCTGTGTCCAGACCTCCGCTATGGCCCAGAAACACTTGAATCATCCCTGGGTGGTCGCTCCTGTTGTTCCCTGGCCACGGAGTACCGTCTTGCATTGTCCATCCATCCTCCGGCACCTTCATTGCTTTCGCCACCAGCGCATTCACGCGTACCTTGAACTCCTCATACTCTCGCTTCATGGCCCGCCGCTCCTTCACGAACGTGGCCTGCACTTTATCCTTGAGATAGTCAATCTTCTGAGCGAAGTACATCTCTGGTGCCCTCGGCTCAATTAGAAACTTCTTGCAGAACGGAACCCATTTGCGAGCGAATTCGGAAGTCTCTGAGAGCGCCTCGAAGGTGAGCATGGCAGCTCCATCGTCAGAGAGATAGCAGGAAACTTTGTCCACGGGGTAATCCACCGCTAGAATGGACAGGATGGTGTTGGCTGTGACAATCGGCGGCTCCTTCAACGGGTCCACGGTACTCACGTACACATCCACATGGGCCAGCTGCGATGGCTCACCCGGCTTCTCGTAGCGGAGAGAAAGCCTGTCCAGATACGTCTCACGCTGAATCGGGAGCCATTTGGGAAACTGATCCAGAATCCAGGAGACAGCGAACCAGATCTCGCACACCACGGATGTGATCCACAGGCCGAACGCGCCCTCGACAGGGTGAAGAATCCGGTAGCGTAAAAAGAATGCCAACACCACCAAACGGATGACAATCACCATCCGGTAAGGATTTATTTTGCTAGACGCTAGGGGAATTTTCCTGGAGAGTGGTTGTCTTGATTCATCCATTCTGCAACACACGCAAAAAAGAAACTTAGCAAATATCCGATTCCGAACTCTGACAAGTTCACTCTCACAGTCTCAATCTAATCCTCGAGTCAGTGCAGGATTGGCGTACATTGGAAGGTCTGGGTCATTTAGGTCCATATCGCTTGGGTGCAGCACCCCACCTTCGCTCATCATCATTTGCATTTTCTCTTGCCGTTGCTTCCAGTTCTCCACTTTGTCCTTCCACGCGACGCTGCCATAGCCGTAAGCAGCCAAGTCCTTGGTTGGGTCCATCGGCCTCGCTTGTACTGTATCAACATGACCACACCGGCATGAGGATTGTTCAGTAGTTCCTTTCAGACCACCGAGATGGAGGATTGTTTAAACCACAGCGAGAAGAAGGTGCTAGCATATATATATATATATATATATATCTATGTATATATATGTACACTATGTAACTGATGTGATGCTCCCGCGAGGATTTTGTACCAGGAAGATTGGGGTCCATGTAATTGATGGGATGCACCCGCTTGTTGCCGTTCGACGGCACCACGAGAGCGTGATTCTCATCTTCCTCGGAATCTCCGACCTGACCGTCGGTGATCAGGGGGAAGCGGGGCTGCTGATGCATCATGCGGTGCGTCGCCATTTCCTGCTCATACATGCTGCCATAACTCATGCGCCCGTGGAGCATTGCGTCCGGTGATGGCTGCTGGTCCTGCTTGTCCATCTGAAATTCGTTTTCCAAGTCGTCCAAATCGTCTTCTTCGTCGTCGTCTCCCGGCACACGGAGGCTCCCTGATCGTGCGTCCACGGTTAGTGAAATCCCTCTTGATCGATGCCCAAGTAAAAGCACAGACAGCGTTCCACTTTAATTACTTCACTCGGAATTTTATGTGCGTTTTCTGCAATGCCTGTCTGACTTGTTTCAATTCTCACTGGTGAACCAGAGCTTGGGCAGAGTGCCAGGTAGATCTCACCTTTTAGCCTTTTGTAGCGGGTCTTGCAGTGAGGACACACTCCATTGCCTTCCTTGCGCTCGTATTCATAGCACGTGCGGCATACTGGAAACGCACATTCATTGCAAGCCACAAACAATTCGTTGTCTTGGTTGAGCCCAACCGCATCACCACAGATTTGGCACACCAACTCATTCATTTGGTTCTCTGGCCTAGGCTGTAGATATAAAACACACAAACAAACACATCAAACCATGGTACACAGCTTGGACCACAATGTTTGCGAGAGTGCCAACAATTTTCACTATTAACTCTCGGTTGTGCGCACACAACTAGTTATGAATCGAAGGGTGAGATCTTTGAGAGAGAGCGGCCAAAATGTTGATCTAATTCAACTGAAACACAGAGGAAACAGATTCATCGAGTCTCTCAACAAGTCTCTTGTGCAGGAAACTGAAAACTCCACGAGACGTCGAGCCCATTCACCGACATTTCGAGGATAAAAGATGCGAGGTTGAATTTGGAGGGCCGGGAGGAGTAGCGAGCATACCCCATGGATTCCCTCCGCAGGGATGACCACAAGCTCATTCCGGTTGTGGGATCCAGCAACCAGGCCCGCATTAGCCTCCATTGCTGCAACGCCACTCCGCTCGCTCCACTGGCCTCACACCAGCGCAAGCTAATTCCCAAGCTGCCCACTGCACAGGCAGCTCCGAAGTCGTTGATGCAGGCTCCTCGTAATCGCCATACACGTCGCTAGCTACTCTCCTTCACAAGCTTACCGCCTTCACTCTCCTAAGCTCCTCATCTCCCCCACCTCGTAATCAATGAACACCGCCTCCGCCGGCTCAAACCACGTCCTGCTCGATAAAACCTCCAGCTCGGTGTGCAAACCACCGCCCGCAGCTTCTTCTTCACACTAGCAGTCCTCTCCACAGCCCTACCCGCAAAATCATTCCACGTCCTTCAGCTCACTCTCCTTACCCGCCGAAGCTGCTCATCCCATGGACTGCAAAACAGTCCTTGTCGAAGCTATCGATAGACAGAGTCCGACACAAGTCTACTGCTCATCTGAGACGGTGTGCAAAGTGCAGCGAGAGGATGGGACGACGCACTCGACTGAGAAGAGAAACCTCCACAGCTCGAGGCTCGAGAGTAAGTGGAGCTCCTCGAGCTGGGTTGGCGTCTGGTGTGAGCCTTGAGATGCCCGGCAAGTAATTTTCTCGCAACTGCAGTATGTGTGACCGGGTCCCTCAAGTGGGTGCAGTCTGCACTGACAGGGCGTGGCCTCAATCATTCAGCAAAGCCAGGGCAGGGCAGGCAAGCAGGGGAAGCAGGGAAGCAGGGAAGCAGAGAGGGGAGGGGGATTAAGTTATAAAGACGACGCGGCACTGAGACTCTGTAGTATTATGCAAAGCTGCCATTGTCATTATCCTGTTTCGCCCTCTAGTGCCCCACGGCTCTCTGAACTCTTCAGCCTTTCATTAACTGTCGCTCGCTCATCTCTATCCCTCTCATCTTTCGCACGCTCTCACTGCTCTCCCTTCTTCTTCTCCCTCTGTCTGCAGTCGCCCCCAGTTGTTGCACACCATCATCATCAATCAGGACGACTCTAAGATTGCTCTTCTCTCTACTGCACTGTGCGTGTACCTGACCGACGAGAGCCAATACAGCGAAACCAAACGAAACTAAACAGACTTATACACTTTAAAAAACAGAACAACAGGCACTTCCCAGGTCTTTTTATCTTTTCTTATCTTTTTACGGTTAATTAATCAGAAGAGTGAGTGACTGTAGTGAGTCATGAGCCGGGTACAGCTGATGCTGGTGCTGCTCGTCCTCCTCCTCTTTCTTCTTCCTTCTGTGCAGCGATGGAATTATGTCGTCAGAGGGTTGTTTTTTTTCAGGTTGCAGGAATCTTCTCCAGGAGGCTACCAATGCTAATGGGGGGGGGGGGGGGGGTGGGGGGCACATTATTGGGGGGGGGAGGCGCCCCCTTGAGGAATGCTCTCCACTCAACCATTCCCACCTTAAAAGCGTGTTCCTGCAACCTCTTCAAAATCCCTGAGCAAATGGGGAGGGGGAGGGGAGGGTCTTACACTGTGTGTGTGTGTGTGTATGTGGTGCGGTGTTCACCTCCACAAAAACATTAAAGTAAATAAATAAATAAGAAAACCATCGCCGGATCCATTACCGAGGCCACCCCTTCCTCACTCCTCACTCCTCTGATTCAAACCAGCTCATTAAAAAAACGACACATTTGCTCACACTTCTGATCCAAGCAGCTCACAAAACACTGCCTTGTTATTTCGAAGCTTGACCTCAAAGACTTGCAGGAATTGGGACGCTGTGTGTGTATGTGTGGGTTTTGTGCCGTCAGTCAAGGTTTGCAAAAGTTTGCAATAAGACTCATGGCCTGGTCTCCGGCCGACACTCCAGCCAGCCATCATGGGCAGGGTCTGGTAACTGTGAATCTGTGTGTGTGAAAAAAATAAAAATAAACACAATATAGCAGCATTGCAATAAACAAAGGGGTACGCATGGATGGAGACACTGACTTATGCCACTTATCCTCTTGTACTTGGAGTCTTGTTGTTGCATGTAAATTCGTGTTCATATTGGAAAAGAAAAGAAAAGAAATTTTTCATTTTTAATTTTTTTTAAAATAAATAAAAAGGGAAGAAAAAAGTGGTGCAATCTTTCATGTGGATTTAGAAAGGGGTGGACAGAGTGGTATTGTGGAATTAAGAAATGGGTGTATTGGATAAACTCAATGGGGTATAATAAAAGGAAAGAATGTGTTTCTTTGTGTGTGTTCTTTTGTGTCAAATGGAGTTTTTATTTCTTGTTGTGGGTGACAAGTGAGTTTTGTTGGTGGTGTCTTGTATGCACGAAGGAACAATGGGTTTAGTTAATTCATACTACTTTGTTATTTTATATAATATGTTACTTTGTTATTTGTATATAATACTTTGTTGTTTGATACTTGTTGTTTTTGTGTATGGGTGTGCAGTGAATCTTATCCAAGTTTTAGTTATGGTTTTAGTTTTTATCTTGAGATTGAAATTACAAGTAGTTGTTCCAAATGTTTGCACTAAAATAATAGTCTGCACCAAAGTTTAAATTACTAGGATTTGTTATAAAAAGGTTATGATTGAATAAGATAATTTTTTCTTGCAAAACATTTGTATGTACATGAAGTGAGTGTATTTCAGTTTTTGGATCCAAACGAATCTATAATTTAAATAATGGTTAAAGAGACCATTTTGATGACTTGTATGATATGAATAATATATATATTTTAAAAATATTTATACTGCTTCTAGTTGCAAATAAATTGTATAAAATATTATAGACATTGATATCAATAATAATAATAATAATAATAATAAAAGAGATTTATGGTTTTTGAAACCTTTTTAAAAGAACATTTAAATGGCTCCATTAGGGTAAGTAAGATCCTGAAGTAAATACATTCAATACATAAAATTTTAGTAAACACAAATACCAAAATCTGGCTTATTGCAAAAAATTGTAAAATTGAAAAATATTTTAAGTGTAATAGTAAAACATTTGTGGATTCGTTAAAAAATTTGATGACTTAAAACAATGCTTCAACAATGCTCAGAATTAAATCAAATATACGTGTTAGAATGGATTTTTGTAGTTAAAAAGTACATTATTCTTATGAATATTATACAAATAGACTTTCTTTTTAAGAATTTAAAGTTTGTAAGAAAATATTTTACTGAATTGATAGAAAAGAAATGTAAGAAAAAACATTGAATGTTTCAAACAAATAAAATAAAATAAAATAGTGTGTCAACTTTGCATACTATGAAGCCGAAATATTTGCATTCGTTCTTATATTCCAATCCACCAAACATAGTTCATCCTGAGGGACAGAATTTATCATCAACCTTTTTTTCAAATTTTAATTAATAAATAAAAATTTATTTCTATAGAAATTGAATTTACAGCTAAAAACAAAACATATGTAACTTTACACTTCAATAGTAGCTTTCATTCATAAAAACATGTTTACATTTATTGAACATGCCCATTTTTCTAACGTACAATGCTATATTCCAAAAGTCTAACAAATTTTGAATCTTTATTCAATTAAATTAATCTTTTACTAACATTCTTATAGAATTAAATAATTTTTTAAAAATCGCATTATCTTGTATTTTTTCAATCAATACACTGCACATAATTTTCTCAACTCTGCCATCTGGGTACCACACATCCTTGTTGCACAGTCACTGGAATTCACTTATGCCACAATTTTAGGGTTTGATGCACAAGTACCAAACAAGCAAAACTGGGAATTGGATGAATGCCATCCATTTCATCCATCACAAACCCTAATTCCAAACACGCTGACAGAAATATGCATATTTTTGTCCTATGAAAGCAATGGTGGGGTAGTCTTTTTTATTCATTTTTTTACCTTTCCTTCTTTTTTGCTATATTGTTATAATCCCCATAAAAGAACAATGGACATGACCCATTATTTTGCACATATATTTTAATTGGGGATTGTTGGCAAGTAATGGTCAACTTGTACAAAGACCTGTCCCATAGAACCCACAAAGTCTTTTTTCCGGTTTTAATGGCAGGGTTCGGCATGTGACCCACAACCGTTCTGGAGCTCAGTTTGAGAGGGTAAACAGATTCTGGGTGGAATCCGTTCAAGGCACCACCAAGGTGAGGGGACAAAATGACCATGTGGATCACTCAATATATATATATATATATATATATATGTGCTCCATATGCCATTGATCTTATGCATATGTTTTGTAAACATAGTAGGCAATAGTTGAATATATAACTACATACATACATACATACATACATACAATTAGAGAGAGTATAGATTATTTAATCATTTATTTACTTTTATCAGGAACTAATAAATTATTCCACTGTTGTTTTAGGCTTTTAAAAACTATGCATCATATACTTAGGTTTACAGGTGAAAAATCAAAGAGGAAACTTACTTTCTTCTGCAATTGTATTCTCAATGGCATGAAAAAGAACCATTCTCATTAAAGTTTGTAATTTAAATTATGATAAAATCACATAATGTACATTAAAAACTTATTATTCTATCTTTACATTTTGAATGTTGGGCCATAATTCATAAACATATCTATCATTTACAAAACAATATATATATATATATATATATATATATGGTATTGCTGATGCAATCATAAATTTTGCTATTGCCACAACAACGTGCTTCCTATTTGACATAGTTTTTTAGTTTTTAATTCAAAATCAAAATTTATGCAATCAAATTGAAAAAAATCATTTTGATTTGTTTGAAAGATATCAAACAAACATGGCATATACTTGAAGGAGGGTTGGCGTAGTAGTAGCAAAAACTACAGTGGGTGAAAAAAAGATATCAAATATTAAACACAAAAACTGTCATAATATGTATAATTTTTTTCAATTTAAAAATATAAAACTGTTACTGAACGAACTTGCTTGTAGTGACATCAATTTTCAAGATTAAAATAAAATAAAAATATTACGCCATTCTTAATTTGACCAGTAAAGTAAAACCGGCAAGAGTTTTACAATAAATAAATATATCCAAGATACCTCAGAAATGTTTTTCAACTAGTTAACTAAAAGTGCCAATACCACAGAGGTTGAGCAAACATGAATTGAAATTAATGTTACAACCCACACAAATAAAATAACAAAAGCATACTATGTATTGGTTTACTTATTAAGGCTTTTAAAAATATTAATTACAATTCCAGTTATCAATCAATCAATCAATCATTATAATATCAATGTCTATCACGTTTTTGTGGTAAAGTAAAGGAAAGAAAAGAAAACTGATGTCCAATTACTGTAGAAACTGTGAACCTAAATTAACCAGATTGCAAGCCAATTGTGAAGCTAAACATAAATATTAACAGTTATATCTTTACACAATCAAAGATCATAGTCAAAGACGAACAGTTGTTTTTTGCATGCGACCAAAGTTGAATATGTGGCACCTACTAATATGCTTTTTAATTATAAGTAGGATAATATAATAAGCACATTCAATCAATGTGCTTATTTCAAGCTTGTTAAAATTCACCGGTATTTTTATTTCTAAGAAGTTAAAAAGCAACACCAACTTCATATTTTTAATGCAAAACTCAAGCAATACTTGTAGAATGACTCCATCAAAGCTCTGCAACATGAGAACAGCTGCAAATGCTACAACAACCATTGCTCTCAAAGTAAAAAATCGCCTCTTTCCATTCAGTAATGCAACTATATTTATATAACAAAGCATTATCTATAATATTCGTTAATCTGTAACAGAATTCTGAAACCCTAGTTTTTAGAGTAGAGTTTGTCATGGAAGATTATATGATTTTTCATTTTGAAGTATTAAGACCCATCAAATATTCTGCTCCCTTGGTTGGGAGTCTATGACCACACTACGCTCCACCCTTGAGTCTATGTGGGTGCTAACCCACATATGGATGGGAATGAATACATCCAAAAATCACATATGTGTATTTTATATATAATAGCAGTAATTTTATGTTTAATTGTAAAATAAAAAATAAAAAAAAACATTTGTATGATTTTTAACCAAAAGAATATGCTAAATTAATGTCTTTTTAGTAATTATTTAA